GTGCGAGCGGCCCCTCGCGGGGGGGGGAGGTGCGGGGTGTTCCTCGAGTGGGAGACCGACTACAGGACTGCTTTCCCCCATGAGTGTCGTTTCGTCGAAGCAGCAGCAAGTAGCGTCACAGATCTACCCATCTTCTGCGCATGTTTTTGTCGCAGATTCGACGAGGATTGCAGTTTTGGAGGCCGCTGAAGGCGTCGCTTCGAGGCCCCTTGGGCCGTCTGGAGGCCATCTTGGGCGACTTGGAGCGATCTTTCGGCGATTCTGTGCCCTCCTGGACCGTCTTAGCGGCCTCCCGGGGCGTTCTTGGCCCGTTTTTGTCGGGAGCCTTGAGACGGGGGTCAATGCAAACGGGGGTCAGCCAGGGCACCGGATCCTGCAGGATCCTGCGAAGACCCCCTCTGGCTGACCCGGGTTAGCGAGCCGCTCGTGGCCGCGAGGCGGCCGCGCAGATTGGCTGACCCGGGTTTGCGAAGACCTGCGTTGCAGTTTTTTTTTCTGCATTGCAGTTTTTGGTTTCCTGCTGACCCAGGTCTGGATTGACCCGGGTCAGAAGGCTCCCATTTTGGGGGCCATCCTGAGCGAGGGGACCGTTCTGGAGGCCCGCGCGCAGCGTGCCGGAAGCGCTGGGCAGCGCCCAAGAGCGCCCCGGCCCCTACAGAGAACATCACAGGCCCTCCCACCTCTCACGGCTGCGTGAGCCGTGGGGCACTGCACTTCATGCCAGAGGCACGGTGGTGGATCTCTTCGGACCGCCAATGGAGGCGGATAGCCAGGAGGACGAGGAGCAGCATGCTGTCTTCCAGCACTCTCGCCTCCGCTGGGGTTCGTATCATCCTCCCGCGTGGGCTGCCGAGGGCGTGAGCAGGAGAGGGAGGAGAGGGAGGAGAGGTGGAGGAGTGACAGGGACGCGGAGGAGGGGAGGTGGAGAGAGGGAAAGGGAAAGGAGGCGCACGAGGAGGACGAGGACGAGGGGGCGCACGAGGACGAGGACGAGGGGGCGCACGAGGGCGAGGGCGAGGAGGACGGCGCACAGCCCGAATAGCGCGGGCGGAGCGCCAAAAGAGCGCGAACAAAAACCCTGCGCGGCAGGACCACTGCTGCAGGACCCTGCACGTCGGCTGCGAGGCCGTGGCGCCCCGCCCCGGCCCGCCCGCCCCCGCGTCGGCGGTCCGCCCTGGGCGCCACCGCCGGCCCCACGGTGGTTTTTGTTTGAGCATGTTGGGCATGGTTCCTTCCTCCTCCTCCTCCTCCTCCTCGTCCTCCTCCTCCTCCTCTTCCTCTCGGTTATAGGCAGGACCCCGGTTAAGGGGAGCCGGTTAGTGATTGGGCCCCGGAGCCCAAAAGATGGATTCGAATCTTTAAACCAGGTCTGCCGTAGTTGGTGCTATAAGGGTGACGGCGATTCTTGTTAGTGGAATCGGACGGGGGGGGCGTCCCCGTTACAGATCTCTAAACCAGGTCCTACTAAACCCAGTCTTGCCATCGCCCTCCTCCTCCTCCTCCTCCTCCTCCTCTTCCTCCTCCTCCTCCTTCTCTTCCTCCTCTTGCTCCTCATCCTCTTCCTCCTCTTGCCCCTTCTTCTCCCCCTCCTCTTCTTCCTACTCCTCCTCCTCCTCATCAGCCTCCTCCTCCTCCTCCTCCCTCCTCCCCTCCTCTCCTCCCTCCTCCTCATGCTCCTCATTCTTCGCTCTGCTCCGCCTTCCCCTTCCTCCTCCTGCCCCCTCCCCCTCCCCCTCATCCTACCCTCCTCATCCTCTTCCTCCTTCATTCCTCCCCTCCTCCTACTCTCCCTCCTCGTCCCCTCCTCTCCTTCTTCCTCCTCGGTATAGCAGGACCCCGGTTAAGGGAGCCGCGTTAGTGATTGGGCCCCGGAGCCCAAAAGATGGATTCGAATCTTTAAACCAGGTCTCTGCCGTAGTTGGTGCTATAAGGGTGACGGCGATTTTTTGTTAGGAGTCGGACGGGGGGGGCGTTTCCCCGTTACAGATCTATAACCAGGTCCTACTAAAACCCAGTATTGCATCGCCCTCCTCCTCCTCACTCCTCCGTCCTATCTTCCTCTGCCTCCTCCTTTCTTCTTCCTTGGCCTCCGATCCTCTCCTCCTCTTGCACCTTCTTCTCCCCCTCCGCTTCTTCCTACTCCTCCTCATCATCATCAGCCCCTCATCCTCCTGCCTCCTCATCCTTCCTACTCCTCCCTCCTCACACCTCTCCTCCTACCCTCATGCTCCTCCTTCTTCTCCGCCTGCTCCTCCTCCTTCCCTCCCCTGCCCCTCCCCCCTCCCCCTTCCTCCTCCCTCCTCATCCTCTTCCTCCTCCTCCTCCTCCCTCCTCCTCCTCCTCATCCTCCTCCTCCCCTCCTCTCCTCATCCTCCTCCTCCTCCTCCTCCTCCTTCCTCCTCCTCCTCCTCCTTCTCCTCCTTCTCCTCGTCCTCCTCCTCCTCCTCCTCCTCCTCCTCTTCCTCCTTCCCATACTCCGCTTCCTTCCCCTCTTCCAGTCGGACGCAGGACAAGAAAGGGGAAGAAAACGGAGGAGGAAGAGCACGGGGGGGGTGGAGGAGGCGATGTCAGGATGCTGGGGGGAGAAGGGAAGGGAGGGAGGAGGGAGGCCTCCTCCTCCTCCTCCTCCTCCGCCGCCTCCTCCTCCTCTTTCTCCTCTCCTCCCTCCTCCTCCTCCATCCTCCTCCTCCTCCTCCTCCTCCTCCTTCCTCATCCTCCCCCTTCCCCCCTCCCCCTCCCCCTCCTCCCCTCCTCCTCCTCCTCCTCCTCCTCTCCTCCTACCTCCTCCTCCTCTCCTCCTCCACCTCCTCTTCCTCCCCCATCTTCATCCTTTTCCTCCTCTTCCTCCTCCTCCTCGAAAGCGCCATAAACATAAGCTGTTGGCGCTCCGCGAGGATTTCTTAGATCGGGGCTTGCCCCCCCCCGGGCGACGCCTCCGGCGCCGCTCCTGGCACGCTCCGCGCGCCAGGGGAGGGGGGTCCATCGCAAGTCCAAGAAATCCGCGCGGAGCGCCACAGATTTATGTTCACGCAGTTTGTTTCTCCTGTAGGCTTGGAGGTTTCTTTCTTTTTCTCCCAACCATCCTGTGGTGTTGGGTCCTCGTTTTGAAGAAAAAGCGCCCCCCGTCTCCTTCCTCTCCTCTCATATCATCTCATCTTCTCTCCTCCTCCACCTCCTTCCTCATCCCCCTCCTCTCTCCTCCCATCATCATCATCATCATCATCATCATCATCATCATCATCATCATCATCAGCAGCAGCAGCAGCAGCAGCAGCAGCAGCATCATCAGCATCATCATCATACTCGTCATCGTCATCAGCATCATCATCGTCATCGTCGTCATCATCAGCATCATCATCGTCATCATCAGCAGTAGCATCATCATCACCACCAACATCATCATCCTCATCATCCTCATCATCAGCGATCAGCATCATCATCATCAGCATCATCATCATCATCAGCATCATCATCACCGCATTATTATCATCATCATCAAACTTTTCACCGTCATCGAAATCACCATCGTCATCACCATTACGGCCGTCATCATCACCATCATCGTCATCGTTCCCCGCCCATTCCTGCACGCCCTCACACAGTTCGTGGACACAGAGGGAGCTCCACCGAATGCTTCAGTGGCAGGGTTCGCATGCAGTTCCACCCTCATTTCGGCGCACCCCTCACACGGTAGCCCCATAAGTAGTTCCGCCGAAGGCCTCAGCGGCAGGGTTCGCATGCAGTTCCAATTTCATTTCGGCGCATCTCTCACACGGTTCGTGACCACATAGGGTGCTCCACCGAAGCCCCCAGTGGCAGGGTTCGCATGCAGTTTCACATTTATCTCGGCGCACCCCTCACACGATTCGTGGCCCCATAGGGAGCTCCACCGAATGCTTCAGTGGCAGGGTTCGCATGCAGTTCCACCCTCATTTCGGCGCACGCATCACACGGCTCGTGGCCCCATAGGGTGCTCCACCGAAGGCCCCAGTGGCAGGGCTCGCATGTAGTTCCACCCTCATTTCGGCTCACCCGTCACACAGTTCGCGGCCCCATAGGGAGCTCCAAGAAGGCCCCAGCGGCAGGGTTCTTCGCATGCAGTTCCACCCTCATCTCGGCGCACCCCTCACGGTTCGTGGCCCCATCGGAAGCTCCACCGAATGCTTCAGTGGCAGGGTTCGCATGCAGTTCCATCCTCATTTCGGCGCACCCTTCACACGGTTCGTGGCCCCAGAGGGAGCTCCACCGAATGCTTCTGTGGCAGGGTTCGCATGCAGTTCCACCCTGATTTCGGCGCACCCTTCACACGGCTCGTGGCCCAATAGGGAGGTCCATCGAAGGCCACGTTAGCATGGTCCGCGTGCAGTTCCACCCTCCTTTCGGTGCCCCTGTCACACGGTTCGTGGCCCCAGAAGGAGATCCACCGAAGGCCCCGGCGGCAGGGTTCGCATGCAGTCCCGCCCTCATCGTCATCGTTCCCCGCCCATTCCTGCACCCCTCACACGGTCCGTGGCCCCAGAGGGAGCTCCACCGAAGGCCCCAGTGGCAGGGTTCGCATGCAGTTCCACTTTCATTTCGGCGCACCCCTCACACGGTTCGTGGCCCCATACTTACACAGGACGAAAGATTTTCTCTTCAGGTGCAAATGGCGATGATGAGTTGGAAGTTAATGACGGACCCCCCCTTCCCCCGTAGAATCTTTGCACGGGCGGGTTCCGGGGTCCGCGGATCCGATTTTTCCTCTGGCTTCCCGTTTAAATTTGATATGATAAGTTTGAAGCGGGGTAAACATCGGATCCGCCGTAAAAAGTAAGATCGAACACGGATCCAGCAAACTCTGAAATCGGATCCGCGCGGACGGAAATCGGATCCACCGAAACAAGCACCAAAGCCACACTTGGATCCGCGCGAACTTCATGGGATCCGACGGCGGTTATCTCATACGCGTCTGCTCAAGACTTCAAACCGTGGTTCCGGGCCCAAGAGGAAAAAACTTTCGTCATGGGTATGTAGGGCGCTGCACCGAAGGCCCCAGTGGCAGGGTTCGCATGCAGTTCCACCCTGATTTCGACGCACCCCTCACACGGTTCGTGGCCACATAGGGTGCTCCACCGAAGGCCCAAGTGGGAGGTTTCGCATGACACCACCGCGTCCAATCCGGTGCACCCCTCATACGTTTCGAGGCCCCAAAGGGAGTTCCGTCGAAGGCTCCAGTGGGAGGGTTCGCACGGCACCACCGCACCCAATTCGGTACACCCCCTCACACGTCTCCTGGCCCCAGTGGATGCTCCACCGAAGGCTCCAGTGGGAGGGTCCGCATGGCACCACCGCGCCCAATTCGGCACGCCCCTCACACGGCTCGTGGCCCCATAGGGAGCTCCACCGAAAGCGGTAGCCACAATGCGGCACTCGCAGTTGCATATTCTTGGGTCTTTCGTCGGGCCAAGTTGGTCAGGCAGGCCCAGGGAAGAGAGGGGCGAGGACTGACCAGACATGCTCGCGTCTTGGAGACATCGCGACGGGAGGTCCTTGGCCGTTTGTTGACCCTTGGGGCCTTATGCCGGGCCTGGGCACCGTCGACGATTGCGCGGGATGACACATGGCCGGGGCCATGAAATCTCCACGGATGTCACGGCCCTCTCCTCTCACTGCAAGGCGTCCCCTGGCCCCATGTGGGCCGCCCTCGTGCCCAGGGCCATGATTGTCGGGCCGAACGAAAGGGGGGGATAGGGAAAGGGGGAGGTTACGAAATCTGCTGCATGCAGCTGGTTTCAGCCCCACCGAGGGGCCCATTCCTCGATACATGGCAGCCTCCGGCGCCAGGAGGCGCCGGGAAAATACATCGCCGTGCCGAAAGTTTCTTTCAATTTGACTTTTGGAATGACGCGCTCGTGCGGAGTAGTTCGGAGTAGTTTTGCTAAAACTACTCCGCGCGCAATCGCATCCCGCCCGATAGTCTACACGGCTTGGCGCGAAGTAGTTTGCGATCCCGTTTTGGGATAACAGAGTTATTAACGTCCCCGGGATCGGAAACATCTCCGCCGAATGATCCCAGCATCATGTCATGTTAGGAATCTTGAGAGGGATGGGAGAGATTATCATCATAGCAAAGTGAAGAAACTTTTGTCACGGCTGTGTGCAATTTTGGCTTGTTTCCCCGCGACGCATTCCCATTGCCAGCACAGCCCCATGCAAAGAGCAAGAGAACATTAATTGTCGGCCGCGGCCCCTTTGCGGTCTACGACCTGTTTGCAAGCTTTGCGGAACCTACCCGCCACGTTCTTCGCCACCGTCTGGGCCTTGGCCGACTTCAGGACCCAGTGACCGCGGTCGCATACCACGTACTCGCGATTTCGGCACACCCCACGCAAGCTTCGTGGCCCCACAGGCAGATCCGCCAGCGGCGGTCGCATGAAGCATCGCCATGATCGGCATCATCGCAAGCACCATCATGACCATCATCTTCACCGCCATCACCATCGACGCGGCATCGGGCCCTGATCGGATGAAGCCATGAAAGACAGGACGGACTGAGATTTTCCCTATCGCCGTGACGAAAGTTTCTTCCAATTTGCCTTTTGGAATGACGCGCTCGTGCGGAGTAGTTCGGAGTAGTTTTGCTAAAACTACTCCGCGCGCAATCGCATCCCGCCCGATAGTCTGTACGGCTTGGCGCAGAGTAGTTTGCGATCCCGTTTTGGGATAACAGAGTTATTAACGTCCCCGGAGTCGGAAACTACTCCGCCGAATGATCCCAGCATCATGTCATGTTAGGAATCTTGAGAGGGATGGGAGAGATTATCATCATATCAAAGTGAAGAAACTGTTGTCACGGCTGTGTAAGCTACGTGAGCTGATTCTCCCCCCCCCTTTGCTATCTCCCCCTTTCGCCCGGCCCGAGATTTGCGACCCCCTCTTCCTGAACAACCTCCCTCTTGGCGCTCGGGCCGTCACGAGTCGGCTCGGGATGACGAATGTTGGCTCGGCAGAAGGCCTGGAGAACTGATCGGCAGGCCTCGATGGCGAATTCGCTCGCTCCTGAGCGGGGTGGCGTTGTTTTTCTGCCTCACAGTCGTGTTGCGGCTTGCTCTCTAGCGTCCGTCGCGGCACCAATTTTCGCATTCATCTGCCCGCGCGCCCTGCCGGAGGCAAGGCCCACCAGGAGCAGCACAGTGCAATGCGTTCTCTCGCCCACGCGCCAACGGGCGTATGGCTTCTTGACTTGGGCGGGGTGGGGTGAGTTGGCCAATGGGGGTCGATGTGTTCCCCCCCGTGAGCCTATCCCAAAAGCGGGATCTATGTCGATCTGATCGATCCGATTCGGTATCGGTTCAGGCCGGCCCGGTCCGATTCGGCTCCGATTTCTCGGTGATCCGTTGCGGCCCGATGATCATGTGACGCGCGACGCTGTTATGCATCCTGGTGCAGCCGCTCCGCTTCGGTGTCGGTTCTGTGCCGATGCGGCCCGATCCGACGGGCGATCCGATTCCCAACGATTTCCCGATTTGATGCTGACCGATTCTGAGGCGGCCAGGGAGGACCGCCGCAGGGGGTCAGCACGAAGCAGGGGCCGCGCGCGGCCAGTTCGACTGCGACGCGGGCTTCTCCAACTGGAAGAAGGGGTGGTCGGACAAGAAGAAGGCGCCGCTCCGGCCACGGCCAGGGCGAGGCGGACCCTGAGATCCGGACGTCGCAATTTTTGTTCACGCCGGGCGTTTTCGTCAGGTCTCGGGCCCCGTGACCCTCACGGATCGACCCGGTTCGGAAAATGACGCAGATCATGATTGTTGGCGATGTTGCAATTTCTTCGCAACGGGAGAAGGAGGAGGAGGAGGAGGAGAAGGAGGAGGACATGATTTGTGCGAGGCCTCCACGGAACACCCTCCCCCCACAGCAACGCGTGGGCGTCTCTCTTGCGCCCCGGTGTGCTGGTGCGGTGGAGCAGAGGCCTCGGGGCCCCCCTCTCGTGCCTCTTTCTTACCAGCCTGGAGCCTGTGCCTGTCCCTGTGTTGGGCATCGCCTCGTCACGATGGCGATCTCAGGGATTCCCCCAGTTTCTGAGGGTGCATCCCCAAGATTGTCATCGCCCTTGGGCGTGTCAATCTTAGGGATAGGGGTAAGTTCGAGGCTGGTTGCGTTCTGCCCTCACCCCTCGGGGGCCCCCGTGAGGGGGGGGGGCACGGGCGGGGGGACGCGTCGACCCACCGTCGCCCATGGATGGCACGCAGCGGCCCGGGGGCCCACTCCGCCCAGGAGCCTGCGGCTTCGCTGTCGGGGGGCCTGCCGCGGATCCATCGGCTGCTGTCTCGCCAGGGAGCGACGCCAACAAAAACAGGGTCGTCTGCGCAGACCTTGGCGCGCAGGCTCCCCCCGTGAGGGCGCGCGCAAGCGGCCTCGTCTCCAGTGGAGCGTGCCGCGCCGGCGGCCCGCGCAAGCCGCCGCGTACAGTCAAAACCCCTGATAAGTTCGCGCGACTTTGCTCAGGGTACCCTTGCGTCCTTGCTCTTCCTTGCTCTTGCGTCTCCGTCCTTCCTTGGTTTCGTCCTGGGGTTTTCGTCGTCCGCCGCCCCAAAAATCCGATCTTCGGCTTCCAAGGGTCTTGCGTCCTTACCGCGCGTCCTTATTCCCCACATCCTAAGTGGGGTTCTTGTTTTCTCTGCACACCCTCCGCTCAGGATCTCTCCTCCTCCTCCTCCGTCTCCTCTGCTCCTCTTTGCTTCCTCCTCCGCATCATCATCACCATCACCATCACTCCCCACTCATCATCATCATCATCATCATCATCATCATCATCATCATCATCATCATCATCATCATCACCATCAGCATCACATCCATCACCATCACCATCCCACGATCACTCACCATCATCGGCATCGAACGATCATCATCATCATCATCATCATCATCATCATCATCATCATCATCATCATCATCACTACTCGCTGACTTGAGGCCTGAATATGGAGGAAGTATCAGGCGGGAGCCTCGTCTGTGAGTGAATTGTGAGGAAGTCTCAGGCGGGAGCCCCCTCCCTATGGGGCCCGCACTCATGTTTGAATCCGAGCGGGTCATCCGCACGTGCAACTGTCGTCACTTTTGGGCTCTTGAGACTTGAATATGGAGGAAGTCTCAGGCGGGAGCCTCGTCTGTGAGTGAATTGCGAGGAAGTCTCAGGCGGGAGCCCCCTCCCTATGGGGCCCGCGCTTCATGTTTGAATCCGAGCGGGTCATCCGCAACGTGTAACTGTCGTCACTTTTGGGCTCTTGAGACTTGAATATGGAGGAAGTATCAGGCGGGAGCCTCGTCTGTGAGTGAATTGTGAGGAAGTCTCAGGCGGGAGCCCCCTCCCTATGGGGCCCGCGCTTCATGTTTGAATCCGAGCGGGTCATCCGCAACGTGCAACTGTCGTCACTTTTGGGCTCTTGAGGCCTGAATATGGAGGAAGTCTCGAGCGGGAGCCTCGTCTGTGAGTGAATTGCGAGGAAGTCTCAGGCGGGAGCCCCCTCCCTATGGGGCCCGCGCTTCATGTTTGAATCCGAGCGGGTCATCCGCAACGTGCAACTATCGTCACTTTTGGGCTCTTGAGGGCTGAATATGGAGCAAGTATCAGGCGGGAGCCTCGTCTGTGAGTGAATTGTGAGGAAGTCTCAAGCGGGAGCACCCTCCCTATGGGGCCCGCCTGCACTTCATGTTTGAACCCGAGCGGGTCATCCGCAACGTGCAACTGTCGTCACCCTTGGGCTCTTGAGACTTGAATATAAAGGAAGTCTCGAGCGGGAGCTTCGTCTGTGAGTGAATGGCGAGGAAGTCTCAGGCGGGAGCCCCCTCCCTATGGGGCCCGCACTTCATGTTTGAATCCGAGCGGGTCATCCGCAACGTGTAACTGTCGTCACTTTTGGGCTCTTGAGGCCTGAACATGGAAAAGTATCAGGCGGGAGCCTCGTCTGTGAGTGAATTTTGAGGAAGTCTCAGGCGGGAGCCCCCTCCCTATGGGGCCCGCGCTTCATGTTTGAATCCGAGCGGGGCATCCGCAACGTGCAACTGTCCTCACTTTTGGGCTCTTGAGATTTGAATATGGAGGAAGTCTCGAGCGGGAGCCTCGTCTGTGAGTGAATTGCGAGGAAGTCTCAGGCGGGAGCCCCCTCCTTATGGGGCCCGCATTTCATGTTTGAATCCGAGCGGGTCATCCGCCACGTGTAACTGTCGTCACTTTTGGGCTCTTGAGGCCTGAATGTGGAGGAAGTATCAGGCGGGAGCCTCGTCTGTGAGTGAATTGTGAGGAAGTCTTAGGCGGGAGACCCCTCACTATGGGGCCAGCACTTCATGTTTGAATCCGAGCGGGTCATCCGCAACGTGCAACTGTCCTCATTTTTGGGCTCTTGAGACTTGAATATAAAGGAAGTCTCGAGCGGGAGCCTCGTCTGTGAGTGAATGGCGAGGAAGGCTCAGGCGGGAACCCCCTCCTTATGGGGCCCGCACTTCATGTTCGAACCCGAGCGGGCCATCCGCAACGTGCAACTGTCGTCATTTTTGGGCTCTTGAGGCCTGAATATGGAGGAAATCTAGAGCGGGAGCCTCGTCTGTGAGTGAATTGCGAGGAAGTCTCACGCGGGAGCCCCCTCCCCATGGGGCCCGCGCTTCATGTTCGAATCCGAGCGGGTCATCCGCAACGTGCAACTGTCGTCACTTTTGGGCTCTTGAGACCTGAATATGGAGGAAGTCTCGAGCGGGAGCCTCGTCTGTGAGTGAATTGCGAGGAAGTCTCAGGCGGGAGCCCCCTCCCTATGGGGCCCGCACTTCATGTTTGAATCCGAGCGGGTCATCCGCAACGTGCAACTGTCGTCACTTTTGGGCTCTTGAGACTTGAATATGGAGGAAGTCTCGAGCGGGAGCCTCGTCTGTGAGTGAATTGTGAGGAAGTCTCAGGCGGGAGCCCCCTCCCTATGGGGCCCGCACTTCATGTTTGAATCCGAGCGGGTCATCCGCAACGTGCAACTGTCGTCACTTTTGGGCTCTTGAGACTTGAATATGGAGGAAGTCTCGAGCGGGAGCCTACGGCCCAGCCCGAAGGTTTGTCCCGGCGGGATCTAGCCGTCGGCAGACGCGCGCGCGCTGGCCGAGGCGGCGACGGCGCTGAGGAAAATGGATTTGCTTGCCCCGACGAGGGGGAAGGGGAGGTGCACATGGAGAAAAGGCAGGGGGATGAGGAGGGAAGGGGCATGGGGGAGGCCGACGACGAGGAGGAGGTGGCGCGAGAGGAGGAGGAGGAGGAGGAGGAGGAGGAGGAGGAGGAGGAGGAGGAGGGGGAGGAGGAGGAGGAGGAGGAGGAGGAGGAGGAGGAGGAGGAGGAGGAGGAGGAGAAAGAGGAGAAAGAGGAGGAGGAAGAGAAATAAAAGGGGGAAGAGAGGGCAGTGCAGGGGGCGAGAGGAGAGGGTGTCCGCCAGGGGGAGGAGGAAAGGGCAAAGGGTTAGCTAAACAGATTCTCATGTGGGGTCCTACCGTCGGAGTAATTAGGTTTTTTTGACTGTAAGGCCGCTGCGCCACCTCGCGCAGGAGCCGTTCCTGATTGTCGCTCGAGCGCGTCGCCGAGCCATCGCGCCGATGCATCGCGCCGATGCCGGAGGTCCGTGCTTTAGTAGGGCCGAGTCCAACTATGCCATGCGTCCCCCTCCGAGCCGGTGCTCCCCATGTCCCTGCACAGGAGTAGAATCCAAAAACAGTCAAAAGGCAGTCAGGGGACGATTTTCCTAGCACGTTTGACTATCTTGGAATACGTTTTGTTTTTCATTTTCCTTCCAAAATGCCCCCTGTAGGAGGACATGCCCGACCTAACCTTACCCCTCGGTGCGGACCCGCTCGCGCCGTGAGCATAGATCAGGACGGGTGGAAAGTGGCTGGAGCCGGGCGGGGGGCTGGGATTCGAAGAAGAGAAAACGCCGTAAACAGAAATGTTTGGCGCTCCGCGCGGATTTCTTGGATCCGCGCTGGGCCCCCCCAGCGGCGCCTCCGGCGCCACCCCTGGCGCGGTCCGCGCGCCAGGGAGGGGGGTCTAGCGCAGATCCACGAAATCCGCACGGAGCGCCAAAGGTTTATGTTTATGATTTTTGTTTCTTCTGCCATGGGGTTGCACAGCCCCGGTTCCGGCCGGAATAACGGTCCTTGAGGGCCTGACGACATTTCGCCCGTCGACATGTGGGGATCGAGCCAGATAGGTCCAGGTAGATGCAGATCAATCGAGGTAAATCCAGGTGCATTTGGGTAAATCCAGGTCGATCCAGAGATCTCAAGGAGAGGTCGGAGCACATCGCGGCCGCTCCAGCGCGAGTCGAGGGACGTCGGGAGGTCGTGAGGCCCTTGCCGAAGTGGGGAGGAGACCAGGGCCCGTGCCGCCACGGCCGATGCGGGGCTCCAGCAACTTATCTGCTCCGACCCCGGGAGGGGTCCAAGTTGAAGTCGGGCAGGTCCCCCTATAGGAGGAATGTGCAAACATAGCCAACAAGTGGTACGTGCACGATGTTCCGCTAATCGTGCGACTACGTTTGAATGTGTTTTGACTAGGTTCCATCTTTCCTGCAAGATCCGCCTGCAGGAGGACAGGCCCGACCCGGAGTCCAGGTGCGGACTCGCCTTCGTCCGACCCTCTAGGCAGATGCTCCCGAGGAGGCCCATCCAGCGCGAGGCCCCCCCCCTCCCTCCCTGCGCTTCCCCTTTGTCCACCTCTGGCCACCAGGACTCGCCCTGCACTGGCGCGAGGAAGGCGCTCCTCCTCCCCCTGGTCCGCCCGCCGCTCGAGGCTGAGCACAATCGCGTTTGGTCCCCAGGCGCCCAGGCGCGAGAGAGAGAGAGAACAAACAAAACAAAACATGGGATAGAGAGAGGTCCAGTGTGAAGTCGGGCATGTCCCTCGACAGCAGGAATATTCAAAAATAGCTGAAACATAGTCTGGGGACGATTTCGTCAACTATCTTGGGATAGTTTTGGTGTAGTTTCATTGTTCATCCAAAATCCGCCTGTAGGAGGGCATGCCCGACCTAAGTCTAGCCGCCGTCGGTGATCTCTGGGAGGCCTCCTGGAAGCCTCACGGGCGCGACTCTGGGTGCCTTCGGGGCCCCTCAGGGGCCTCCTTAGGAGAGCCGTGGGGCCCGCTCTCCCGGGGGGGGCACGTGGGGGCCGCCTTGGAGCTTCCTGGGGAGCCTCCGAGGGGGGGGGCCTGCTGGCGGTCTCGGGGCCACCATGGAGCGGACAGGTCCGACCTGTCAGGTCGTGTTCCCCCCTGGGGGCCCCTCTTGGGGGCCCCCTCAGGGGGCGTCTTTTAGGGGGGCTGGGACGCGCGGGGCGCCCCGACACGTCTAGCAGGTTGGGATGCGAGCCCTTTAATTCTCAGGACTCGGGACTGCTGACTCGACGGACCTGAGGACGCTCCAACTCGTGCCTCAGTGCATGGCGGCGGATACTTCGGGGGAAGAAAGAGAGAGAGAGAGAGAGAGAGAGAGAGAGAGAGAGAGAGAAAAAAAGAGAGAAAAACAATAAAGGAAGAGAGAGAGAGAGAGAGATAGAGAAAAAGAGATGACAACCAACAAAGAAACAGAGCGGAGACTATCCTGGCGAAGGTCATAAGCGTATACAGTTGCGCATTGCGCAGGCCTCTTCGTATACTGCGCGCTGCGTAGCAAGCATGAAGAGGTGCTCCATACCCGCGTGAGGGGTGTGCAGAGATGGGCGGAGGCCTGCGTGGGGCCGTGGGTGGGGCTCCTTGAGGGGTGCGAAGCGTGTGAGGGGCATGCCGACGTGGGCGGGGGGGCGGCGTGCGGTCCGCGCCTCTGGGGCCGCAGGTGGAGCCCCTCCCCGTGGGCCACGGCACGCGTGATGGCTGCCGGCATGGGCGGGGTGGCGGCGAGCGAGCTCTGTCTCACCAGGCTCGTTCCACTACTTGCAAAGTCCCTGCTCGCAAACGTCGCGGCCTTCGATGCCATTCATCGCAGATCCGCCGCGGGGGATGCCCAGGCTAGTTGCGAGCAGTGGCTTTGCAAGTCGTGGAAGGCGCTTGTCAACCGCTGCCTTGGGGTCGAAGGGCGGAGCTGCCTGGTGGGGCACGAGGCGTGCGAGGGGCGCGTCGGCACGGGCGGTGATCGTGGCGCGCGGGCCGCGCCGCGCGGAGCGCGGAGCGTGCAGGGGGGGTGCCCGGACGGGCGGGAGGGGCGGCTCGGGGGGGTGGGGGGGGCAGAGCCCCCCCCCCCCCTGACGCGTCGATCGGTGGATTGTCCGTCTTCGGTGCTCGAGGGGGCGCCGCGGCCGTCATTTTCCAGGCCTGCGCCCGCAGGGTCTGGGCCCGAGGTCGTTTTCACGAAGCCACGTTTTGCTAAAGGGGGGTTCTGTCCGTCCCCGAACGGCATGCGGACGACGTCTCGGGGGTCGTAGGTGGCGGTCGCTCTGAGGGCCACGAGCAGTGCGCGCAGTCTGTTCCAAAGGTGGGCGGCGTGGCGGCGTGCACGGGCAGCGTGCCGGCGGGGCCGCAGGCGGGGGGCTCTCTGAGGGGCGAGAGACGACGTGTGAGGCACCTGCCGGAACGGGCGAGGGGAGGACCACGAGGAGGAGCAGGAGGATGATGAGGAGGATGATGATATTGATGTTGATGTGATGATGCTGCTGCTGCTGCTGATGATGCTGATGCTGATGATGATGATGATGATGATGATGGTGATGGTGATGGTGATGGTGATGGTGATGGTGATGGTGATGGTGATGGTGATGGTGATGGTGGTTGTGGTGGTGGTGGTGGTGGTGATGGTGGTGGTGGTGATGATGATGATTATGATGATGATGAGGAGGAGGAGGAGGAGGAGGAGGAGCAGGAGGAGGAGAAAGAGCAGGAGGAGGAGGAAGAGGAGGATGAGGAGGAGGAGGAGGAAGAACGGAGATGGAGTTGCTGGAGCGGGCGAGGTGAGGACCACGATGAGGAGAAGGAGGTGGATGAGGAGACGGGGCGGACAAGGCGTGCGCGCGGCGCAGCGAATTCGAAGCGTGGGCCCAACCCGACTGCACGGCGGGGCTGGGAACAAGCATGTCCGAAAGGTGGGCCTGTAATGTGGACGACCATGTTACTGCGTCACTGATGCAGCGCGTCGTTGCAGATTTTGCACGGTGGATGGGCGTCATAGGTTCCCGCATGTCTTCGCCATAGCCCTGTGTGCCTTTGCCTTAGCCCCATATGTGCTCCTCTAGCGGGTGGAGCGGGGGATCGGCCAGGAGGGGGACATTGAGCCCGCGTTGCCCAAGTATCGTCGATCTGAGCTTGGGCACCCCGCCCTTCCCTGGATCGGTTGAGTCCGCATCGGCGATGTCGTTGACTCCTGGTCAGGTTGATATGCCCCGGTGAAACACGAGCGCTTCGCCATCCGCACGTTCGTCGGTGTACTCGAGTCCGTGTCGTCTCGTCCCTGCTGGTCTGTGCCTCCTCGACTCAACTCAGCCTCATCCTCCACATCTTCCTCCTCCGCCTCCTTCTCTCCTTCCTCCGCCTTCGTCCTCCTCCTCGTTCTCCTCCCCCGCCACGTCCTCGTTCTCCTCCCCCAGTCGCCGTCCTCTTTGCGCTCCCTGTTTTCCCTCACACACCCGATCAAGCCCTCAACGAGGATCAGGCTCAGGAAGGAGATTTCGAGGAGTATGAGTATGAGTATGACCATGTGACAAAGTGAGGGAGCCTACACTACGTGACGAATTACACATGAAGGTAGGGCTACACACGACCACGGCTTTGCTTCTCTCTTGCACTAAGGACTTTAGGCCACAAACCACGCGAAATCCTATCGAGATATTCAGCTCGATGTGAGGTGACTCGCTTGGTACAGCCCTTGCCGAGTTCGCGCAAGACAGAGGAGGCATAGCAACCGCACTGCTTACAATACTACATGGGGGACTTCGAGGAGGAGGAGGAGGAGCTATCATCATATGTTTTCGCTTGTTGATCAGCTGTTGACGCTCGATGTGACGTGCAAGCGATTCTGGCAGTGGAGTGTGCAGATCTGCACTGCATGCACGGCGGCCAATTGTGTGTTATGATGCCTATGTCGAATTGTCAGGAATATTGCTGCGAAGAAGCGAAGAAAGGCTGCAAGGCGCTACCTTCAATATCTCCTCTTCTCCGTCTTCCGAGTGCGTCAACTATACGCATACCCATCAGTCGGAATATGTATGTAGAAACATGAAGTAGTCAGGCGTTGAAAGTCGATTGGGTGTCCGCCCGCCCCCTAAAAAACGGACAAGGCGAAGCCACTTGATCGTTCAAGTAAGAAGGCGCTTCAAGTAGGTTGGAATGTGGGAATCCCCAAAATACCTACAGTCGGGGCCCTGAAGAAGGAACCCCTTTCGTTGGGGAGGGGCTCCGCGTTCCCTAAGTGTTTCGCAGCTTGCCTCAGGTTTTTCTTAGGTCTTCGATTGGAAATCGAAGTTCAGCTTGTGGAAAATAAAATAGGGGCCTCATTCCTTATTTTGGGTTCTTTAGGTCAACGCCCCGACTGTACTTTCAACGACCGACCAGTACACGAGTCCTGGCTGGGCCGATCCTGGGTTCAGGATCGGCGTGCCCTGCCCTCCCTGGCCACGCCAGGAGGGCGCATAACTGCGGCGACCCTGGGGTGCGGTTGGCGTTCTCCTGCGTCCCGCGTTCTCTCCCCCGGCGCCCCAGGCATCTGCGACGCGGGAGCATGGGCGCGTTTGCGCCCCGGAGAGCCAGCGTGGTGAAGACATCAGGGCGGAGGCGTTTCGCAGCTTTCGGCCTCTGGGGGGCCTTCGCCGGTCCCCGAGAGCGTCAAAAAATGATTGAGGATGAAAGACCGGTCCCGGGGAAGCGGTCGAGACTTCCTGGGGACCCCGTGTTGACAAAAAACACGACGTCGGATCTCTGATTGTTTCGCACCATGGTTGCCAAGATGCGCGCTGAGGCACCACGCGCATGGCCCGCCCACGTTCTCTCCCCGCTGCACGTGTCGCAGAGCTGCGGGGCGCGCTTGGTCCGTTTGTGTTCGCAGTTTGCCCTCGCCCCCCGTGGATGGCTCGTGCTACCGACACAGGGGCACGGCGCAGTCTGGGAAAAGCCTTCGACGAGTTCGAACAAGTCACCGCGGTACCCATCACCTAGCTCCTGGCCCCTCGCCAGGCTGAGCAACCTGCCCGACGGGGGGTGCATGGCTCGTCCTGTCATGTTTGCGGGTGTCCTCCTATGCAATTCTCCCTCTTCTCTCCGAGACTGATGCTTGTCCTGTCCTTTCTCAGAGCCGGTGCTCGTCTCTGGCGCGCAGGACTTCCAATCGTGGCGCGCGAGGTCTCGGGCTCTCAGCCCTTCCAGGCCCCGCTCCATGTGTGCGCGACTTAACTTTGCCCTGCGTCCGTGTCGCTCCGACCCCCAATCACCGAAGTGTCATTTCAGAGCTTTCGGGCTGGGTTCACTGCGCGATTTTGCCTCCGTGGTCCCATGCCACCATACCACATGACCTCCGAGGAAGACGAGGCCATAGAGGACGAGAAGGAGGCAGAAGAGAAGAAGGTGGTGGAGGAGAAGAAGAACGGCTCATTCAACGCGACGGAGGGGAAGGACAGTGAATTTGATTCGCGCGTCAAGTTTGGACGGCCCCCCTTCTCCCCTGCATCTCACGCGTTGCGCTTATGGTTGTATGGTTGCGTAAGCGTGCGTAGTGTGAAGCAGAGTGGTGCAGACCAGGCGAATCAGTTGTTTTACCATGTGGCGTCTTGCCCAGCAGGGGTTCGTGTCGGAACTGAAATGCCGAGAGGGGGACAGCATGGCGGAATCGGGCAAGCGCGCGCGTGCGTGCGTTCTTCACGCACGCGTGTGCGCAGCACCGCAGTTGAGAAGCAACGCGATGGGGGCGCCAAGGCTGCGCCGCCTTGGCAGAGCGAAGCACCAGCGCAGCATCCTGCCCTGCGGCCTGGGCAGGGCGGTCCACCAATCCAGCGGAGTCAGCCCCAGGCATGCGATGTCTTGAGTCTCTCAATCTGGTCGGCGTCACCCTGACATACATGTACTGCATGTGCGTCGCCCCCCCAGGGGCGACGCGCGCACCTAGAAGTCTTATAGTGTATGCGTCGAGGCGGGCGCTTTCTGGCCACACCGCTCGGGAAACGATGTACTACAAGATGGGTATGTTATCTGTTCGTGTCGGACGCACGCCTCCACGGAGGACACACAGTACCAGTCCCTGTGCATCCCATATGGGGTCCCCGCAGGACGGGACCCTTTTCCCAGGGCCAGCTCTTCTTCCTGAGCCGCTTTGTCCGAGGGTGCCCAGGCCCCGCGAGGCCCCCGGATGCCGAACACAGCCAGCACACATCCCGTCGTGATGTCTTCGCGACGCGCCCGCCGTCGTCGTCGAATTTTCTGCGACGGGCCGTTCTCGCGGGGCGGGTGGCGAAGTGCGTCGCCGGGTGGGCTGCGGGCGTATCGGGCGGCCCGTCGTTCTGACATCGTCGTGGTTGTGGTCGTGTCGTCGTCGTCGTTGTGTCGTGGTCTTCTTCGTGGTCGTGTCGTCGGTCGTCGTCCTGTCGGCGTTCGTCTGCGGTCCACCGTCTTCGTCGTCGTGTCCGTGACGTCTATCGGGTCAGGGGCAGCGATAAGGGGTGAGAGGCGTAGGGAAAGATGCATCGCCCCCCCATCGGTCATCGATCGCCAGCAGGGGCCCGATCGCCCCGACCTGTCCAGGAACGTGCGGATTCCCTCGCCGGGGTCCATCGCCGATCTGTCGGCGAGGTACCGCCAGTTCCAGGTCGAGGCGTCCACCCCTGATTACGCCAGTCCCCCCCCTTCTATCGGTGCCCCTCCTCTGGTCTCTGCCACTGGTCTCCTCTCCCGCTGGCAGCGCAGAACGGTGTCGCGCGGCGGGGGCGCCGGTCGTGCGAGGGGCGGGACGCACGCCCCGCGGCATTCGGCGGGGGCCGCGGGCGGCGCCCGCGCTCGGGGAGGGAGGGCCAGCGGCGAGGAGAGGGGAGCCCAGAGTCGAGGATCCCGGGGGTCGAGGGTCCCCGGGGATCGAGGCGCCCGGCATCGTCGAGGATCCCAGGCATCGAGGAGCCCCAGGGTCGAGGAGCCAAAGCCCAGGGTCGAGGAGCCCCAGAGGTCGGGGATCGAGGCTGCTGCTGCACTTGGCATCGCTCGGACGTGTGCATTTTTTCTCGGCGAGAACCATCGAGGACCATCCTGGACCATCGAGCAACAAAGAACACGCACGAAACCGACAAATGCACGGGAAATGGACGTCCGAGCGACGGCAAGTGCAGGGGCCGAGCGCGAGCCCGGCCCCCCCGCGGGGGCCTCGCGCGGGCCTCGCGCACGGGGCGGCCCCGCGGCCGCGCGGGGCGGGGCCTCGGCGGGGGCGGCCTCGCAGCGGGCCTTCCACGGGGCGGTCTGCGGCCGGGCCTTCCCTGCGCCGCGCCGCGCCCCCCCCCCCCCCCCAGGGGGCAGCGTCTGAGAGGGCACGTCAGAGGAGGAGGAGGAGGAGGAGGAGGAGGTACATCAGGAGGGAAAACAACACACAGACACAATGAATCGTCCATTCCCAGGAAAATATAGGAAAATATGGGAAGTGGGGGGGAAGACAAAAACCCAGAACATCTGGGAAAATATGGGGAATCCGGTTATTTGTGTGTATTTATTTGTGTGTCCCAAGGCCCCTTCAGTACAGTCCACCCGCACAGGATGCCCTTGCATTCCTCCCACGGCTGCCCTTGCATCCTCGCCTCCTCGGTCCAGCCTTGGCCACTTCTGTTGGCCGCGCCCCGCTCGAAAAGCTTCGGATTGGGCGTCCAAGGCCCCTGCATCCTTCTCGCACATTCTGTACCCATGCCAGTCGGTCATTGAAAGTAGGCATCTTTGCATCCCCAGATCACAATATATATAGATGTATACATATACGTGTATATATAGGTGTATATATATATATAGATGTGTACCTACATATACATATATACAGATTGTATATACTTCAAGTGCCTTCCCACTTGAGGAATCCAGATGTGTGGGCTTTGCCCGTCAGTCAAGCCTTGCGCACATACGGTGCATTGGCTGGTTTGGTGGGTTGTTGTTGGGTTGTTTGGGTTGTTGTTTTGTTGTTCGTTGGGCGGGCCCGGACCAAATCTATTTGATCCGCTTCTCTACGGTAGGTTCATGCGGCGTTGGCGCGCATGCGACGGCAGCGAAGGCATTCAAGGCTGACTTCTTCGGCGCGGAAGCACCGAGCCATCGTACCCGATTGAATACAACCTTGAACGATCGGAGCCGCGATCGATTCAAGGTTGAACAATCGACGCGGTGTCAGGAACCTCTGTGCGCGCCGAACCGCACGAACCTACCGTACCCGTCGGTCGTTGAAAATATGTATTTCTGGATCCCCAGATCTCAATCTATTTCAAGCGCCCTCCTACTTCAAGAATAGATGTGTCTGGGTTGTGGTTTTGTCATTCGTTGAGCGGGCCCGAGCCCAATCTAGTTGATCCGCCTTCCTACATCATGTTTCGACCTACTTCTTCCCACCGACGGGTACTCATTTCGCTATCCCTCCCCTCGTCTTCCCTTTTCTCTTAGTCAACGCGAAATCCGGGTCAAAACGCACCCTGGGAGAGATCCGGGGAGCAGCGGTATCCGTACCGTTTGGTTCCCCCAGCACGCGGGCTCGAGGTTTCGAAGCTTCCAGGCGGTTTCGTGGGTTTCAGCGGTTTCTCCCAGCTTCTCGAGACGATCGAGATTTGCACGGAAAGTGTGGGTACCATGCCCAACAGCAGTTCTTTTTTGATTTTGAGCGAGACTCGTTGACCGCGCCGAAGCAGACGTTGTTCATTGAAGACAACAAGCCGCTTGCCCAACAGCGGCCGCTGTCGGTTTTGGACTACATTCGGTATTGTTATGCATTGTACCCATTTTTTCTCTACCCATTTCTAGGCGGCGGGCGAGGGGGGGAAAGTGAGAAGCAGAAGGCCCTCTCAGAAGGCGGCGCGACTTCTCAGAAGCCCTCGCGCCCTCAGAGAAGTCTTCTGTGTCCTCGGGGATGGCTTAGAACACTTCTCAGAAGGCCGTGGGACCTCGAGCCCTCTGAGAAGGCCCGCCCTTTCCCACTTCCCCCCTGCGCTCGCCGCCACATTTCGGGCGTCTAGAGCCTCGGGGTGCCCTCAAGCAGCTGCGCCTCGCCCAGGGCGTTCCACGGGGGTGCCTCTGGATTCGTCCGGCACGGCCGCGGCAGGCCCGAGTTTTTATGGCCCGGAGGCCAGCCTATGGGGCAGGCTCGGGGCGGTGGGCATCGAATCCCCTCTGGTTGACCCAGAAGTTCTGGACGACGATCAGTGGAAAGGGAGCATGGTGCCAAATAATCCCCAGATGTCTAAAGAATTTTCAAACAGGTTTTGAGCATTAAAAACATGGTTTAAACACTTAAATGCAGAACAGATTTCGAACATGGTACACACATTATTACTTCAATGATCGGATTGTTAGGGTGTCCGTTGTCACGGCATCCACAACCCAAAAGGGGGTCCAGTGAAAAAAGGATGGCGCAATAGATTTGGTGCAATAGGTTTGTGGGGTTGCAGTATATTTGGTACATTCCAGTGCGCAAATGTGTTCCCGGATTGAAATGCGTTCGCTGGCAATACGGTGTTTACAATGCAATAAAATTCTCCGGCGCAATCCATCTGCAGCACAATTGCCTCAAATCTATTGCGCCAGCCCTGTTCAGCTGGACTCCCTTTGGGGTAACAACTATCCATTCATCGCCGATGGATCGGCACGCACGACATGGGCACGGCAAGTGTGGCCACGATGCTCCACAGCAGCATCTCTCGTTCATTCTGAACGGGACTCGCTGCCCGCGCCGCCGCGGCCGCTGCCCGTTTTGAGGCAGAAGGCCGCTTGCCCCACAGCGGCCGCTGTCGATGTTGGACAACACGTGCGGTTGGCCATCGTACGGCAGGCTCGCGTCGTGTCGACTGGCGGCGACCCCGCCGCTGGCGTTCAACGTTGAACGTCGCTGGCGACCCACAAGCGGTCGATGCTGAACGGTCTCACGTTTCGGAAGCGGCCGATCTTTCAACGTTGAAGGATCCCCGCGGTGTCAGGAACCAGCGCCAGGGTCGACACGACACGAACCTGCCGTACCCATTTTTGTTCCGTACCCATTCCGGGCGTCCAACATGGGCCCGAGAGCGAGCCAGCCCCGCCCAGGAGCATGCAGATTCGCTATCGGGGGCCCATCGCCGAGGCATCGGCGAAGTAGCCATCGCCGATGCCAGAGCAATGTTTCCCTCTCTGAGCTGGTCACCTCCTTTCGAATCCAACTCCTGGGAGGTCAAAATCTGACTTTGCCCGTGTCCGAAATCCAGCTTAATCCGGCCTTATCCAGTGCAATCTGGCTTCTGAGTCCGGCTCAATCCCGTTCAATCCGCGGCCCAGTCCGGCATAACAGCCTCCCAGTGGGGCCGAATCCTCCTTCAGCCTTCCGGCTAAAACCTCCCAGTAGTTGCCTCCTGACCTCGTCCCCTACAGGCGGCCCGGATTAGTAGATCGACCCTGCCAGATCAAAGGTACCTTTGTGTCCTGTGTCTCGCGACCCATGCTTCGTACATTCCCGTGGCGATGTGGCCCTCGAAAGGGTCCTGTGTCCTCTCGCGTGCCCTCTCCAATCAAGCCCGACTGTAATGTTTCCCTTCAGCGCCGCGGGGTTCGTGAGAAGCGAACGTCGTCCTGAGGGCGGCGGGTGTTCCTTTCTCTTGGCATCGCTCGGACGTGTGCATTTTTTCTCGGCGAGAACCATCGAGGACCATCCTGGACCATCGAGCAAAACAAACACGCACGAAACCGAAAAATGCACGGGAAATGAACGTCCGAGCGACGGCAAGTTAAGGAAGCAGCGCAAGATGGAGAGTTGGTCCTCCTGGGGGGGTGGAGCTCCGTGGGTCCATGGCCCGGCTCTCTCTGGACCCGTTGGGCGCATCACGCACGTGACCTGAACATCACGCGCACATATGGCACACGCAACACACGCGCACGCGACGAACACGACGCACACGACGCACAATTCACAGATCCCAAACGTGACACACCACACACACACACGTCCTGCACATGATACATGTGCTGGTGTGACCCTGGGCACGCACGTGCCTCTTGTGTATGTATGCATGCATGCATGTAGGTAGGTAGGTATGTATGTTTATGTGCAATTGTATAGTCATATACTGATATGTATGTTTGTGATTGTTGGTCCGTGTACGTATGTGTATATGCGTGCGTGTATGTATGTATGAATGAATGAATGGATGCATGCATGCATGCACGTATGTATGTATGCATGTATGCATGTATGTATGTATGTATGTATGGATGTATGTAAATCTGTATATATGTATGTATGTATATATGTATGTATGTTTGCATGCATGTATGTGTGTTTATGGATGTATGGATGTATGGATGTATGGATGTATGGATGTATGGATGTATGGATGTATGTATGTATGTATGTATGTATGTATGTATGTATGTATGTATGTATGTATGTATGTATGTATGTATGTATGTATGTATGTATATGTGTGTATGTATGTATGTGTGCATGTGTGCATGTGTGCATGCATGTATGCATGCATGCATGCATGCTTGCGTGCCTGCATGCATGTATGCATGCACGCATGCGTGCCTGTATGTATGCATGCATGCATGCATATATGCATGTATGTATGCATATATGTGTATATGTGTGAGTACGTCTGTATGTATGCATATGCGTATCTGAATGTACATATGTATGCGTATATGCTTCTCTCTTCCTCCCATCCTCGGTCGAACGGCGGCGTTGCTGCCGGCCCGCCGCCTCTGTCCTGGGGGGGTGCACCGGGGGCAGGGCGACATGCCCGCGGGCGCCACGGAGCCCTACAACTGCGACGCGGGGCTCCCCAACTGGGAGAAGGGCTGGTCGGACCAGAAGAAGGCGCCCCCGGCAGGGCTCATGTCGATTCCTCCGATTCGATCCGATTTCGATTTCGGCCTCCGATTTCCATTCGACTCGGGATTCCGATGTGGGCCCCGATTTCTTATATTGGAGGCCTGTTGGCCTGCCGATTTCCGCCGATTCGACTTTTCCCGACTCGGGTGCCGATGTCCTCCGATCCGATTCATTTCGATCACCGATCCGACTTATCGATTCGATTCTGGGCTCTCCTGCCCCCGGTCGCCACGGCTCATCGACGATAAAAGAACCCCTAAATTTAATATAGAATCGGGCGTGCCTTTCTACAGGAGGCATATTCCATAGTTTGAAACATCTTCTGGTGACGATGTGACGCGCTCTTCTAGTTATCGTTGATTATTTGTTGACTACTGTTTTATCTTTCTTCCAGAATCCGCCTGCTGGAGGACATGCCCGACGTAAGCCCTAACCCTAATAACAGAGTGAAGACGTGGCCTCACTGAGGGCCCGTCCTTGCATCGGGGATAAGAATTCTGGGTGGTTTCGGTTTGGTCTGGCACACCTGCAGCAGAAAAGACATCCGATCCCTGATTGGTGTGGCCCTCCTATCTTAACTTAGGTTCCCTCCCAGAGGGTTTGGGGTCCTTTGTTGGTAATCAACGGCAGCAGCGGAGATCAAATCAATTACAACTGCACGAATGAGGGAGGATGGTCCCGCACAGATCCAACAAACAATCCGCGCGGACCTCCAACTGCGCATGCTTATGCACCTTGTCCTGAGGATTGGAGGAAGTTCGAGGTCTTGTCGCATTTCAGTCGGTTTTCGGCGGTTGTCTAGCCTTGTCGTGCTGTCCAGCAGCTTCGCCTCGCCAGAATCATTCCCGGGCCACGAGGATGGTGAGGACGGGGGGAGGACGGACGGGGACGGCGAGAGATTGATTGCCCAGCGGGAGGAGGGCCTGGTCGGACCAAGTGAAGGCGCCTCGTGTTCCCCCTCCCTCGGTTTTCGCCGCCAAGCCGCACCAGGTCATATCAAGCGCCCACCCCCCTTCAGTGTTCGCCATGAGGCGGCTAGTCCGGCATAGGCTGGTAGCACGGGGGGTCCCACGGCGTGGCTGGATGTTATGTTACTTCCTCTCTCATCCCCCCTCCTCCCCTCCCTTCCCCCCTCGCGCTCTTCCTCATTTTCTTCGGGCCACCTCCTGCTCATCCCCCTTCCTCCACTCCTCCCTCTTCGTCCCTCGCTTTGATGCCGTGTCTTGCCCCTGCAGGAGGGGGGCGGGGAAGAGGATGACGGAAGAGGAGGCGGAGGCCAAGGAGGAGGATGGGGAGATTGTGGGATCTGGGAGTCGAGTCGATAAACCAAAGCAGGAGGGAGATACGGACGACGAGCCCGACAGTGAGGAGGAGGAGGAGGAGGAGGAGGAGGAGGAGGACGACGAACCGAAGAAGATGCGATACATGTTTTGGGCTGTCTCGTCGTTGTGATTACCTGGTCTTCCTTGTGCTGCCGTTTCAGGTGAGGACACGGGGCTACAATGCAAGATCCATGTGCACTGTTATAAGTGAACAATACTCGCGTTACGCGTGTTTATAATGCAACAATTCATGAGGGTTGCGGGTTGTTGCCCTCGATTTTTGGAGCACGAGTTGGTGTCGTACAAGTGCTCTTCAAGTCTGTTGTGTTGCGACCTCAGCATGCCTCTTGTGGCACTCATGCCAGCTCTGCGTGGTGAATGTCAACGTAGAGTTCGTGCCGATGTTCGTTCGAGAACAGGCGTAATTGCGATTGAGTGCTGTATTCATGTCCGATCTGGTCGTTTATACATCCAGACCCACACGGTCGAGGAATTGATGAGGCCTCGGCCCAAGAGTTGCGAGCCACCCTCAGTCCACCCTCCGCCCCCTGTCCCCCATTTCCTTTCTTCACCTCTTGCTCCCCTCGTTTTCCAGTGCCCCCGCCTGGCTCAGGTTCCTTCCTCCTTTCCCTTCTCCATTCTGTCTCCTCCCTCTCTATCCTTCTGCCCCACTCCGTTTGCTCCCCCCTCTTTCTCTCTCTCTCTCTCTTTTTTTTCTCTCTCTCTCTCTCTTTCTCTCTCTCTCTCTCTTTTTCTCTCTCTCTCTCTCTCTCCACCCCTCCCCGCTTCCCCTTTCTCAGCCTCCTTCGGCTCCTCGTCCAGATGCTCACTACCGTTTGTGCACAGCGCCTCACATATGATGCATAGTAGCGAGGCACATGGGATGATAATGCTTGTTGACCAGGAGTGGTGTTGCAAAGAGAAGTCGCTGGGCTGCCCGGTGAGCCGAGAGCCTCACTCTCCAAGCTTTCGGTTTCGTTCTTCACTTGTTCTTGCCATTGCGATTCGTCAACTTGTACTCCTTCAGTCGCAAAAGGCACATTGTGCTTTCTGAGCCCAGCTTGGTCTTATTCTGCTCCGGTCGTGCGTCTTGCTACGATTTCGGCTCAATGCATTCGGCCCAGGCTGTGCCTGCCCTGGGCAGTGAAGCCCTCGACCACCGTGCCGTAAGGATGGTGCTTTGAGCCATAACCTGTGAGGCCTAAGCTCACATCTCTCGGGCTCGAGCCACTTTCTGTGAGCCCTGACTACAGTCAGGCCGCATAGCAAGGATGGGAAACCTTCTCAGGACTACCCTTGCATCCTCACCTCCTCGGCCCATCCATGGCCGCTTTCGCTTGCCGCGCCCCGCTCGCGAAGTGCCGACGTGGCCCTCCAAGGCTCTTGCTTGCATCCTCAACACGCATCCTTCTGATACGGGTTGACTGTACGTGGCCGACCTCGCGGGACCCAAAGTCCGAACATCCCAGAAGTCCAAAGGAGGGTGATAACCATTAGTGACGAAACCGCTCGAGGGATGGTGCGTTCCGCGTCCAGACCACAGTGCGTTCCAGGCCTGATCCAGGCGCCAGTCGTGCGTGCACGCTCGAGAAAAGAACGTCCAGGAGGTCAAAAAATTAGCACCAGGATTTCGACGTTCAAATTCTAGTCGATGTCCCTCAGGGCTTGACGACTGTTCGCCAATCGACTTAGGCACAGAAGTCTGGGCAAGTCCAGGTCAACCAAGGTAAATCGCGGTAATTCCAGAGATCTCCAAAGCGAACTGGAGCAACTCGTGGCCGCTCCCAAGCGCGAGTCGCTGAAAGGCAGAAGTCGTGCAGGCCTCAACGACCAGGCTTTTGAAAGCAGACCAGACATGTTTACGGGTTTAGGTCGGGCATGTCCTCCTACGGGTGGATTTGGGAAAAACAACACAACATAGTCAAACAACAATCAGGCATAGTCAGAAGAGCACGAACATATCGTCCCCAGACTATTTCTGGATCATTCTTGAACGTTCCTCCTGTGGAGGGGCACGTCCGACTTGATCACAGGTCCGCACGCTATTTTTTGTTCTGCCCTCTGGAAGGCCAGGGTGGGCTGGGCCTGCCCGCGGCCTCCGACTCCCAGAGCATGCCCCGGCTCCCCAGGTCCACGGGGCGTGGCCCGAAGGCGGAAGCAAAAGCGGCACGCAGTGGAGGCCCATGCCAGGACACGCCCTGCTTGCCTCCAGGGTGCCCTGGGCCTCGTGGGTCTCCATGGCCCCGCGATGGAAAGCGCCGCGACGTTCGCGCACCGAAGATCGTTTGGACGTCCTTGGGTCGCAGGGTTGGGTTTCTTGTGGAAGGCTTCTGGTGGTCGAGCTCCTACTGTGAACTTGAGTTGTCGAAGTTTCGCGCGGATTTGGCGGGTCGGCGCTGGACCCCCCCTGGCGGCGCCTCCGGTGCCCCCCCCAGCGTGCTCCGCGCGCCAGGCGCCAGGGAAGGGGGGTCCTGCGCCGATCCACGAATTTCGAGCGCGAGAGATACCCGTACCCTTACCTAGGCAGGGTGGCAAGGGGCCGGGGGGGCGGTTCGTCGCAGCTGAAGGCGGCCGCACAAGTGTAGAAACGACAGCCGATCGAGCATTACACACCGCTGTCTTCTCGGGGCGCACGTTAGCACCGATCGCACGTGCGTTCGAATCGGCGGAGTGCCCGACCCTGCGTTGGTTGTTGTCGATGTAGACCAGCTGCTGCGGAGGCGCGCCCCCAGACACACATCCGGGCGTTGAGGAGCCAACGCGCACTCGGGGGCGCATGCGAACAACTCTGGCGCGAACGTCATTGCGCGACAACCGCCCTATCGCGAATTGCTCGATGCAGAGACATCGCGAATCTGTGCCCTGGGCGAGGTCGCCAGAAGCCGCCCCCCTTGGACGGCCGTCTACGGATCACCCCAGCTAGGTACGGTTGCCCCATGAAAACCCAAAAAACATACCCGCACCTAGGCGGGGTGCCGCAGCTCACCCCAGCTAGGTCCGGGTATGTTTCGGTGGTTTCAGGCAGGTCCCCGTACCTAGCCGAGGTGGCGGCAGGCCCAAAACGCTCTCGAACACATATCATGCCCTCCAGAGCCGTCCCCGACGTTGCCGCTGCGGCCCCCTGGGGGCGCGACATTGCAACGTCGTTCCCCAGTGCAGGCCCAGACGCATTGGTTGCCAGGATAGCGAGGAAATGCAACTCTTTATCGATTGGGACAGGCGCCGCCACATATGGGCGGCTTTGAACCGCGCACGCACCACGATGCCCCGAGACGTCCCTAACAAAAACCAGCGCTTGTCGCTGCAATCAGACACCCAGCCATCGAGCGCGCCGTTGCGTCTTGACGCGCGGATGCTGCATTGGCGCGCGCGGGGCAAGCTGACCGGGCACAATAGCAAGCGCCCAGTCCCCCGGACGGCCCATCTCACCTTGGCTGGCCCCGGGTACGGGTATCTTTCGGACCAATGAACGAAGTCCGCACAGGGACCCGAGAGTCTCTGATTGGCACGTCGGTCGCTTTGTCTCGGGTGCCCCGGGGCTCCTCCCCAGGGGCCACAGAGAACGGCAGGGGCACGCGACTCTGAGAGTTTGCAGGCCCCCGCGGCCCAAGAGTGTCTCCCAAGTGTGTCAAACTGCTGGCAGGCCGGTGGGAGAAGATTTGGTTACACTCAAGATCGTCTGCGCTTCATCGTCCCGTCCGCAGCCGCTGCCGCGGCTCTCACCTGCGGTAAGTATCATCCTTACGCTGCTCATCCACCTGATTTTGTTCTAATGTTCAGCGCTTACCTCTCTCACTGTCCCACCATCGCAATGATCATTGGCAGGCTCGCATGCAGTCTTGAACATGTCTGGTTGCGTCCGTTGTGATTGCGCGCCGCAGTTTCAGGTCCTGATTTGCTCGCACATTTAAGGGGCTCTTCGATGACTCCGATCGGAGTGCTGCTTCTGATACAATGTGTCCAAACATTGAAGTGCAGTGCAGGCATCTGGTCTTAAGGCTCGATGTTGTGTTGCCGCAAGCAGTGGTCGCGGCAAGCAGGACATCATGCGTTAGCCGTGTTCTGATTGATTTTTTTTAGTTGCCAGACATGTTATCTAATCGTGCCCAGTTCGACTGCGACGCTGGCGTCGAGAATTGGGAGGATGGCTGGTCCGAGGACAAAAAGGCCAGCTGGCGGCCGACTGAAAGATGCTGCTCTGATTTCTTGCCAGATGCTCGCGTGATGCTCCGTACGCCGTTAGACATGGGTTGACTGGAAGCGAAGGTGATGAGACCCATGAGCCCACAAGTCGGGAGATGAGGTAAGAGGGGGGGGGGCAGGTGGGGGGCTCAGTGAGGGAAGGTTGGGGAGGAGCATGAGTTGGAATTGGAGGAGGAAGAGGAGGAGGAGGAGGAGGAGGAGGAGGAGGAGGAGGACTGGGGGGGAGGATGGATGGAGGGAGGGAGGGAGGAGCAAAGGGGGGGGAAGATGGCGGAGGGGGGATGAGGGGGCGGAGCAGGAGGATGAACGGCTGAGAAGGAAATTCGACATGTTTCTTTCTCGCTCCAGATCCTAACTCCTCACTCCTCATTCCTCTTCCCCCTCACACCTCACCCCCTCTCCCCCGCCCCGTCCTCATCTGGATAAGCTCGACTCGCAACACCACGTTCGTTGCCCGCCCGTCGTATTGTACCGTCGCGTTCAGCAGTCCGCGTGCGATCGCCCGATTCAGTTCGCAGGGGGATTCGTCTCCCTTGCTTCTCCAGCACAGGGGGTCTAGAGCTCCGACCACTTAATTTCGGCGTCGCATGGCCCCCATCGCCCCGTCCACCCCGCCCCGTCTACCCACCCGCCCACACCAACCACCACCACCAGTGTGACACCGCCCCCCGTCCAGTGCTCCGCCCCGACCATTTGATACACCATCCACCACCACCACAAGCGTGACACCGCCCCCCCTCCAGTGCCCTCTCCACCCCGCCCCCCTCCGCCCCGACCATTTTAATTCGGCGTCGCACCGCCCCCACCGTCCCGCCTCCCCGACCTTTCCCCCCTCCCCAGCCGCCCAGTGCCCTCTGCACCCCGCCCCCCTCAGTCCCGACCACTTTATTTCGGCGTCGCACCGCCCCCCCCGCCCCGGCCCCGCCCCCCCCCGCCACTCCACCCACCCACCCACACCAACCGCCACCACCAGCGTGACCCCTCCGCCCCGACCACTCCATTTCGGCGTCGCACCGCTTCCCGCCCCCCTCCGCCCCGACATTTTATTTCGGCGTCGCACCGCCCCCACCGTCCCGCCCCCACGCCCTTTCCCCCCTCCCCACCCGCCCAGTGCACTCCGCCCCCTTCCGCCCCGACCCCCCGTCCCGCCCCCCCGACCCTTCCCCCCTCCCCAGCCGCCCTTGCACCCCCCCCCTCTCCCCGACCACTTTATGTCGGCGTCGCACCGCCCCCACCGCCCCGCCCCTCCCGCCCTTCCACTCACCCACCCACACAAACCAACACCACCACCACCAGCATGACCCCCTCTGCCCCGACCACTTTATTTCGGCGTCGCACCGCCCCCCGTCCAGTGCTGTTTCCACGCCGCCCCCGCCCCTCCGCCCTCCACCCCGCCCCCCACCGACCCGCCCCTCTCGCCCCTCCACCCACCCACCCACACCAACCAACCACCACCTCCAGCGTGACCCCATCCGCCCCGACCACTGTATTTCGGTGTCGCACCGCCCCCCCCTCCCCGCCCCCCCCACACTTCCCCCATCCCCAGCCGCTCAGTGCCCTCTGCACCCCGCCCCCCTCCGTCCCGACCACATTGTTTCGACCAACAGCCACCACCACCACCTCCAGCGTGACCCCCTCCGCCCCGACCACTTTATTTCGGCGTCGCACGTCCCCCCGCCCAGTGCCGTTTCCACACCCATGACGCGTTTCGTGACCCTTGAAAGTGGCATCGCAAGCGATCGGTGCCCACAACGCGCTTCGCACAATTGCATGCGGGCGGGCCCTTCGCCCGGATAGCTTGATTTGTCTGGACTACTGTGACGTTTTCTTCCCATATCCGCCTGTTTGAGAACATGTCCGACTGAAAGGCAGATCGGCGAAGCGACGCTCGCAGGGGCGGGCGGCGGCGCGGGAAGCCGCCGACGAGCCTGCCTTTGCGGGGTGTCGTCGCCGCGGGTCGGCCTCCTTTCGCGTGCACCGCGGCGTCGGCCGGGCTCCACCAGGGGAGCCCGCCCGGCTGCCAGGCGTTCGAGCCCATCTTCGGCGGCGAGCGGGGGAGGGGGGCGGGAAGTGAGAAGGAAGAGGTCGGCTCAGAAGGCGGCGGAACATCCCAGAAGCCTTCGCGCCTTCCGAGAAGCTTGCTGCCAGGGAGGCTCGGGGAACTCCTCAGAAGACAGGGGGACTGCGGAGCCTTCTGGGCAGGCCGCGCTACGTTTTTGGGCCGCGATAGGCACCAGGGACCGGAGGTGGAGGAGGGGGAGGCGACGAGGGAAGGAGCATGACGAAGAAGAAGAGGGATGAGGATCATGCAGAGGAGGAGGAGGAGGAGGAGGAGGAGGAGGAGGAAGTGAAAGAGGAGGAGCAGGGGAGAACAGGGAAAAGGGAGTAGGAGGAGGAACAGGATGGGGGAGGAAGAAAGTCGTACAAGCCTGAGGAGGAGGAGGGGAGGAGGGGGAGGGGGAGGGGCAGAGGGAGGAGGAGGAGGAGTGGGGAAGAACTGAATGGGAGACTGCCCGATGCAGCACGGCGCCAGTGCCCGTGCGTGGCCTGCTGCGCGATCTCGCCCTTTTGCGCAGCTGCCTCGCGCCGCTGCCCCCCGCGCTGGCGCCGTTGTGCCTGCACCTGTCCGTGTGCGCGGTCAAGCAGGGAGGAGGGAGGGAGGGAGGGAGGGAGGGAGGGAGGGAGGGAGGGAGGGAGGGAGGGAGGGAGGGTGGAGGGAGGAGGGAGGGAGGGAGGGAGGGAGGAGGGAGGGAGGGAGGAGGAGGAGGAGGAGGTGGAGGAGGAGCTGGAGCCAGGTGGTGGGCTGCGCTGGCCCAGCGCCTGGTTCCGGCCAGCAGAAAGGGGGCCTGGCGTCGCTCGGGCGTGTGTGTTTTTTTCTCGGCGCCATCGAGGAGCATCTTTGAGCAGTTAGCGAACAAAACACACACGAAGTCGAACCATGCACGGGGAACGGACGTCCGAGCGATGGCGAGGGGGGGGGAGAGGGCCCCTCTCGTCACCACGGCTGGACGCGGCCTGGGACAGCTTTCCCGTTTGGACCCCAGGAGAAATCTGGGCCGCGATTTCGCGCGGATGTTCCCTCATCCCCCCCTCTCGGCAGAAACTCTCGGGGCTCAGCCAACGCAGACCCCGCTTGCCGCCTCCAATTCAGTGGGAGAGAGAGAGAGAGATGGAGGGAGAGAGAGAGGGAGAGAGATTGATATTCGCGTGAGGAGTTCTGCTGCGAGAGCACCGACGTCGGCTGCAAGGCGAGCCGCGCAATGCTAGTCGTTGCCCTCCCGCCGATGCGCCATCAATGCCGTCGTGCGTGCGCCCAGGCGTGCGTCGGAGCACTCAGCGAAGTCCACCGCAATGGTTTGCCGTCAGTTCGCCATGCGGGAGAGGGTTAGCAGTCCGAGCGATGCAGTGGAAACTTCCTTCGGTGGCGGCACCAATTGAGGACTGGTTGCGTTTACCACGTGTACTGGATTTTCGTTCGAGGGCGTCCACGAGAAGTTTGAGGACTTGGGGTGTCTGGACATCATGGCCGGGACCCCGAAATCACCCAGGCGCCATGGCCCCTGCATCTTTTCGGCGTTGGCGCTGGTGCATCCGTGGTCGGAACCGGCCTAACATACCCCTTTTCAGTATCGCTTCACCCCCGCCGAATCTGGCTTCGTCCCCGGCGTCATCTCTTCCTGGCCGCCTCCCCCCCCCCCTCTTCTTCAAGCGACGCGAAGATCGGAACAAAATCGGATCGGGATAACTCGAAATCTCTGAGAATCGGCGGGTTTGGAGGATGTATTGGGCGCCGCGGCCGCTCCAGAGCGTTCCGGAACGCTCTGAGAGCGCTCTTGAACGCTCTGGAGCGATTTATCCCGATCCTAGCCCTGTTTTATCATCTCTTCCTGGCCGCCTCCCCCCCCCTCTTTCTCGAAGAAGAAGAAGAGACACCATACACATTATATGTTGGCGCTCCGCGCGGATTTCTTGGATCCGCGTGGGGCCCCCTCGGCGGCGCCAGAGGCGCCGCCCCTGGCGCGCTCCGCGCGCGGGGGAGGGGGGTCCTGCGCAGATCCAAGAAATCCGCGTGGAGCGGCAACAGTTAACGTTTGTACCGTTTTTTCTTTTTTTCAGTTCCTCTATATTCAGTTCCGCTGGTGTACGTGCGTCGGATTGTGTGGCGCACGCTCTCCAGGCTTCCGAGAGTTGGTCCGAGCAGGTGGGGTCTGAGGAACTCGCCGCATCGCCGATGTATCGGTGATGCGGCACGATGTGAAGCCCGATTTTCTCCACGCCGACGTCGCCGATGCATCGCGGACGTCGCCAGTGCATCGCCAAGGCATGGGAATGCATCGGCGATGCGTCGCGATCCTCCGACCCTATCTAATTACTCTGCCCCCGTCTTGCAGGCCTCTAACGGTGGTTGCCAGGATAGGCGGTGAGGCGCTAGCCATGCGCATCGCCCACCCAGTTGTCTTGCCTCTGTGCTCGTGCAGGCAGCACTGTTCGGGGCGGCCTTGATCCTTCTTCATTCGGACGCTGCCCTCGTCCATGGGGGATGGCTCGCCCTGCTGACGCAGGAGCATCCGTCGGGGGCCCCCTCGCGCGCGCTCTCTCGGGTCGCGGTGCAGACAGCAGGGATGCAGTTGCCGGCACATGCCCTTCCCTTGACATCGCTCGGACCTGTGCATTTTTTCTCCTCGGCGAGAACCATCGAGGAGCATCCTGGACCACCTTGCGAAGCGAGCAAAAACGCACGCAGCCGAAAGCTGCACGGGGAGAGGAGCGATGGCAAGCCCCAGTCCTCCGGCGTCGTGATTTTTGTTTTCACAGGTCTGGGCACCTCCCCGTGGAGACCTGGCCTGTCTCATCCCGAGCGGCCCTCTTGACGGGCCGAGGGCACGACACTGGTTCTCTCTCTCTCTTGGTGGCCGGAGGTTCGCAAACACGAAGCGGGTCGTGCTTGTCTTTACGACGCGAGGGTGTCCGGGCAGGGCGCATCCGACAAGTGGCCTCAACGATTCGGGGGCGGCCGGAGGTGTGCGAGCACGGCAGTGCGTCGTGCTGCTCTTTACGACGCGAGGGTGTCAGGGCAGTGCGTAGCCGACAAGTGGCCTCAACGATTCGGGCTGTCGACTCGGAGGTCCGCACGGGTTTCCTGGATCTGCGCTGGACCCCCCAGCGAGTGAGGGGCATGAATAACCCAACCATCCCCATCAGTTTGGAAGCTTTTTTCAGAGTGAAAATCCGAGTTAACTGTTTCACTCCGCGACTCGTAGCAGACCAGGCTTCGTGCTTGTACGGGACTTTGACCTTGACCTTGCGATGGACCCCCCTTTGCTGCGCCTCGGGCGCCGCCCCTGGCGCGCTCCGCGCGCCAGACAGCGCCGATCCAAGAAATCAGCCCGGACCTCTGAAATCTGGTGTGTGTGTATATGTATAAACTCGTTCTCCTGGTGTATATGAAATCTTTGAAATCTGGTGCATATGAAATCTTTGAAATCTGGTGTATCTGCAGAAATCTTTGGAGACCTGGAGTCAGGGGAGGAGAAGACACCCCGCACCCCCAACAGACCCCCACAGCTGGCGACTCCCGAACATCCCCAGGGCGTTTGCCGAACAGCTCTGCCCTTTTCGGCTCACTGCGGGCCTACGGCCAAGACGCTGAAGTAAGGATCGCTTCGGGCTCAGGAGGGGCTACAGTTTTAGGGCCGTTCCATCTATCCAGGTCGGGGAACCTACTCGAAGCCGAGGCTCGCCGTGGCCAGATAAGCCACTTCGTTCCTCACTTGGCGTTCCTTCTGGTAGGACTATCCCTGCAGCTTGCAGGGGTGCTCATGACGAGGGCAGATCTTCGGCCCTCCGTAGAGGGGCGTGGCAGTAGCGTCTCGCTGCCCGGGCGCGGCGGCGACGCTGGCGCCAGCGTTCCAGGGTGAGCTTCCTCGGGCGGCTTGTGTCCAGCCGTGGGGCGCAGAGAGAGCTTCTTGGCGCCAGCTGGGGGGCTGAGGTTCGGCCACGCGCAGAGGGGGGTAGGGGGAGGGGGGCACTGGGTAGCAAATCATGGGAGCCTTGTGTACCCTCGCAAGTCTGTCTTAGCGTCGACTAGCGTCTGGGAGTCGATGAGATAACGGCGATTGAGCGTCGGCTAGCGACGATTCAGCGTCGACTAGCATCGACTGAGTGCCGGCTAGCGTCGATTCGCAAGGGCGGACAAGATTCTATGGGAGGCTCCACTGAGTTGTCACCGAAGGGGCAGGCTTCTGAGACGCCTGCCCCTGCTTCTCAGAAGGCGCGGGCGTGGTCTATAGGTGTAGGGGCGGCGCCTTCTAAAAAGCAGCCTTCTTCTAAGATTAAGTCGGGCCTGTCCCTTTACAGGAGGAATATTCAAAAATAGTCAGAAAATAGTCAGGGGATTTTTTAAAAGTATTTTTGACGTTTTGAGTATGTTTTATTATTCGTCGAAAATCCCCCTGTAGGAGGACAGGCACGACTTAATTCTAAGAAGCCTTCCCCCCTCCCCCCACACCCCTCGGCGTGCCGCCAAGCAGCGGCACAGCACCAGCTCCGGCCCGCATGGTTTCAAGGGGGCCCTTCCGTCGCCACGGCTGGACGCGCGCGGCTCCAGGGGGCTTGTCGGCTTGTCGGTGTCGACCGCGGGAGGGTCCTCCTCCTCCTCCTCCTCCTCCTCCTCCTCCTCGTCCTCGTCCTCCTCCTCCTCTTCCCTCCTCCCTCCTCCTCCTCCTCCTCCTCCCTCCTCCTCCCTCCTCCTCCTCGTCCTTCCCCTCCTCCTCCTCCTCCTCCTCCTCCTCCTCCTCCTCCTCCTCCTCCTCCTCCTCCTCCTGGGTCTGGGAACGGATTCTGAGCCGATTTGCATTCGCGCCCCCTCTCTCGACAGGTTTCTCTTCGGGACCCGGCTCCGGCGCAGTTCTCGGGCCGCTCTCGCTTCCGGGAGGGGGCCACGAGGCCTCCCGGGGGGCCCCGGAGCCAGGGTGCCGCTCGCGGGGCGCACGCGGCCCGCGCGGCGTCGGAAGCCCGGGCCTGCGGCCTCGAGGCCGGAGCGAAAGGGTGGGGCATCGTCTGCGGCGGGCGAGGCAGATCCACGACGAGGCAGACGTGCTCGCTCTCGTATGCCGTGTTTTTTCGCCGGTGGGCGCGGGCCGCCCTCGCAGCCCCCCTCCCCCCCCCTCTTCGCCGTGGAGTAGAGACCTTGGCTGCTTTTTGGCGCCTGCGTCAGGCAGGCGGAGCCTCCCCTGCGGGGCGGACGCCTCCCAGCCGTCGCCCTGGCAGAGGCCTAAGTCGGGCCTGTCCCTCCACAGGGAGAATCTTCAAGAATAGTCGAACAAATAGTCAGGGGACTATGTCTTGCCTGTTTTGGGGCATCTTTTGAGTATTTTTGGGGTATGTTTTATTTTTCGTCCAAGATCCCCCGGTAGGGGGACAGGCCCGACCTAAGCAGAGGTCCAGAGCCAGACCCCCCCCCCTTTTCCGCTCGATGTCGAGACGCCGAGCAAGACAACAGTTCGCAGACTCGTTCGCCACAGGGCGCGGCGACGGTGAGGGGGGGCGACTCGCCTCGCCCACGCTCGGGCTCGCCTCCCGCTCTCGCTCGCACCTGCCGAGTTCGCCCGCGCCTCCAGCCTTTCCTCGCGCCTCCCGCTTTCGTTCGCCTCGCGCTGTCGCTCGCGCCTCCCTCAGTCGCTCGCCTCCCGCTTTTGCGCTCGCCTCCCGCTCCCTCCCCCCCCCCATGGAGTAGATCTTGGCTGTTTGTGCGCCTGTTTCAGGCAGGTGGAGCCTCCCCATAGGACTTACTGTTGCAAACAGTCGCGTTAAGCAGAGGTCCGGGGCTAGACATCACCCCTGCCCCCCGCCCCTTCCGCCCAATGTCGAAGCGCCGAATAAGAAGTCGTTCACCCTCCGCTTTCGCTCTCGCCTCCCGTTTTCGTTCGCCTCCTGCTTTCGCTCGCCCTCGCGCTTGCGCTAGCCTCCCGCTTGCGCTCGCCTCCCGCTGGGGGCGAGCGAAAGTGTGGGGGCGAGCGGAGAAGGCGAGCGAAAGCGGGAGGCGAGGGAAAGCGGGAGGCGAGCCAAAGTGGGAGGCGAGCGCAAGCGGGAGGTGAGCGCCAAGCGGGAGGCGAGCGAAAGCGGGGGACGAGCGGCAGCGCGAGGCGAGCGCAAGCGAGAGGCGAGGGAAAATGGGGGGCGAGCGGGAGTGGCAGGGGAGGAGGTTCAACGCAAGCGGCAGGCGAGAAAGTTCGGAGGCGAGCGGAAGCGGGAGGCGAGCGAGAGCGGGAGTCGAGCGAAAGCGAGCGCGGAAGCTTCCCACTCGCGGTTTACTTGTCGTGGATTTTGTCCTCGTCTTGTCGTCGGCCATGCGATCTCCCCAGATGTCATGCCTCTTCTTCTTACTGTGAAGGCCTTCCTTGCGGCCCGTGCCGCCGAACCTGAAGGGGGACGACGGCGGCGGCGGAGGCGGGCGGCGACGACGACGCTGAAGCTCTGGAGCCCTTCTTGGGAGCCGCTTGGGCTCTGTTTGGGGGCCGCCTGGGGGGCCTCTTGGGAATCTACGTGGTCACTTGGCGCCACCTCGGAGCGGATCTGAGGCCTCTCGGAGGTTTGTAGGAAAATGCGCAGCATCCGCAACAGTAGATAGAAGTGATGGCCCCTTCTGGTCATTTCAAAGCGTCCACTGGCCCCCCCCCCTCGTCCGCGCACATGCCTCGGGCCATGGTCTGCATCCCCCCCGCTTGGACGCCCCCCCCCGACCGTCGCCGGCCCAAGGAGGAGGGCTGTTGGTGCCTTACGCCGGCCGGTGGCCAAGGGATAGCCGTGGTGCCGCTGCAAAGGTGTCTCGTTAACTAGCGGTTGGTGGGCCCCCATGGCCGTCGGATTGGGTCGGTTCAGTTTTCGGCGAAGCGTCTTGGCCTGCCTATAGGCCCACCAGAGAATCTTCTAATAACCTTCTGTTGTTCGCCCGAAATGTTCATAGAACATGTCTGGCTGAGACATTCTTGTTTTAACGCAATTGTTGTACGTTCTAAGAACAGTACTTATATTATTGGGACATGTTGTTATGAAAGCATCTCGTGCTACGCTTAAGTCGGGCATCCCCCTTTTACAGGAGAAATATTCGAAAGCAGTACAACAGTATTTCGGCGGCGTTTTTCTATTAATTTTGACTATGTTTGATTTTTGTTCCACTATTCTTCATTTGTTCTTCCAAAATCCACCTGTGGGAGGACATGCCCGACCTAATGCTAGACCTCCAGGAAGGCCTGGACTGTCGGTCCCTGCTCAGCCGGCAGGTGCCCCGTCGTCCGTTGTCTCGCGGTGCCGCTGCGAGCGCTCCTCGGCCGCCAGGTCTTGGCGGGCGACGATGCCCTCCCTCCTCCCCCCCTTCACAAGTCAGCGGGCGGCGTTAGGGGGGAGAGGCTCAGGGCGGGGGAACATCGAGCGCGCATCGGCGATACGTCGCCGATAGGTCGGCGATGGGTCCGCGATGGCGGAACCGCACCCTCCTGGGCGGGGTGGGCTGTGAGGCCCATGGCGGCGATGACTGGGTGATTGGGGCCGATATGGGCATCACAGCCCACCCCGCACAGGAGGGTCTGCAAGGGCTCCCACGAGGGCGCGAAATTATTCGCGCTTCGCGGTCCTCGTTCCTTCTCCCCCTCCTCCTCGTCCTCCTTTTCTCCCTTTGGGGGGGCGGCGCGAGGGCGCGAAGTTATTCGCGCTTCGCGGAGCGCGAAGCGCGAAGTTGGGAGCCCTAGGTCTGGTGTCGCTCTCCCGGGCCCATCGCCGACCCCTTCGCGAATGTGTCGCCAGTTCGCGCTCGGTGCTTCCCCGTCCCGAGTCAGTGCCCCCAACGCTCCCTCTCACCGAGGAGGCCCCTCAAGGGTCCTCAGGAGGAGGCCACTCAGGCCTTCTCGGTCTGCCCCACTTTCTCCACTGCCTCCTCGCTTCGTCGTTCCGGTTTCTCATCCTTAGTCTTATAGGTGTTCCTTTTTATGTCTTCCGATGTCGCGCCTTTGATCGAGTTGTCCATGCATGTTGCGGACTATTCACTTCAACGATTCAGCAGCACTGCAAGTCAGGTCACGCTGGCATGACAATTCGAACAGTCCTCTTCATCTCCCCGCCGCCTCATGCATTCCCTCCCCATCCTCACGATTAAAACCCTCTTCCCGCTTCCACCTTCGTTTTCTACTCCTGCTCCCTTGTCTCGCATCCTCGCTCCACCCACCCTTGTTCCTCATGATCTTCCTCCCTCTGTATGTTCTCCTCCTGCCTGCCAGCTTGTCTTCCTCATCCTTCTCTTCCCGCATCCTTGTTTCTCCTGCCTCCATCCTCTACTCTCTCCCATCCCCTTCCCCACTCGGAGGAGGAGCAGAGGGGCCAGGGGGTCGAGGAGAATAAGCAGGTTGAAGCGGAGGGACAGGGAACGGAGGAGCGGGAAAAGGGAGAGGAGAAGGCATACGATGGAGGAATTCCCCCTCCGACCGCTACTCCTCGCCCCACTTCCTCCGAGCGCCCACCTCCTCCTCGCAACTTCCCCATCGCCCCCCCCCCCCCGCCCCCCCCCCTAGCCAGGCTCGCCTCTTCCCTCCCTCCTCATCCTCGCCTCTCCTCTCCTCGTGGCACACCCTCTCGGGCCACCTCTTCCCCCAGAAAAAGCACAGTGTTCGCTTAGAGCTGGTTTCCTTCCCCCAGAACGACGAAAACCCTTACGGACTCTCCCGCGAAACCCTCCGACAAGCCTCCTTGGAACCTTTCCCGGAGGGTTTTCGGAGGGTTTCGGGGAGTGTTTGGGCTGCTTTGACGGGGAACCTACCAGTCCCTCGCGAATCCTGGACTTCCTGACGCTACGGGTCCCCCCCCCATTCCACGTCCCCGCTGTGGTAGCCGTCGTCGCCGGTGGCGTCGTCGTCGTCGCCGATGTCATCGTCGATGTCGTCGTCGTCGTCGTCCTCCTCCTCATCCTCCTCCTCCTCCTCCTCCTCCTCCTCCTCCTCCTCCTCGTCGTATTGGCCGAAAACCACGTGCGCATGCGCGCGGCGTCTGGCTCAGAGCCCGACTAGGTCTGGCTGCGAGCCTAAACAGATCTGGCTCAGAGCCAAAGTAGAGCGCAGACCCACTTGTTGCACACTGCCCTCCTCCCCCTCCTTCTCCTCCTCCTCCTCTTCCTCCTCCTCCTCCTCCTCCTCCTCCTTCCCCTCCCCCTCCCCCTCCCCCTTCCCCTCCCCCTCTCCCTCCCCCTCCGCGCTGTCTTCGCCGTCGTCATCGTCTTCCTCCTACCCCTCCCCCTCCCTCCTCGTCCTCCTCCTCCTCCTCCTCCTCCTCCTCCTCCTCCTCCTCCTCCTCCCTCCTCCTCCTCCTCCTCCTCCTCCTCCTCCTCTCCTCCCCCCTCCTCCGCCTCCTCCTCCTCGTCCCCCTCCTCCTCCTCCCCCTCCTCGCCCTCCGTCGTCGTTGTCGCCAACGTTGTCGCCCTCGCCAGCGCGCCGTCGCAGCGGCGCCGCCGCCGCCGTCGGCGGCGTGGCCTCGCCTCCCTGGGGCGGCCACCGCGCCGGCACGGGCGGCCGCCCCTCCCCCCCCACAGTTCGACTGCGCCGCGGGCCTCCCGAAGTGGGAGACGGGGTGGTCGGAGGCGAAGAAGGCGCGTCCCGCCGCCGGCGGGCAGCGGGGGATCTCATCACCGATCACAGGAACACTCGGGCACTTGGCCCTGATAGCGCAATGGAGGCTCCGGGCCTCCCAGATGGGGTCGGAGGATCGCGCCGCATCGCCGATGCGTCGCCGATGCGGCTCGATGTGGAGCCCGATGTGTGGCGCGTCGACGTCGCCGCTGCATCGCCGACGACGAAGATGGAAGAAGGCACGTCCCGCCGCTGGCGGGCAGGCCCCGACCCCCGACCCCGACCCCGGCCAGGGATGCCATCGATAACAAAATAACCCCTGACCCTAATAACACGACGAAGACGTTGCCTCAACAGCGAACAGTTGCTTGTTCTTGTATTTTCAGCAGACGGCCTGGAGAGGGTGGGGTCAGGGTGAGGGGTGTTTGGTGTCTGGCGATACCTTGCGTGTAAGTGTATGTGTGCGTGTGCGTTTGCGTGTGTGCGTGTGTGTGTGCGTGTGTGTTTGTGTGTCAGGCGCGTTTACGCATTTGGCAGTCTCGGTGAGTGCCTGCTGAGTCATTAACGATTCTGGCGTTTCGTGTTTTTCCTGATCCTGGGAGGGTTGCCGCAGTGTTCTCTCTGTTGCTGTTGCTCGTGGCTATACGGTAATGGGAGACATTTGCTTACCAGTGCCAGTTTCTTGTCATGACTATCGTATGGTAACGCACCTCACAATTACACGAGCTGCTCTCTTACCATATTTTTCATTGGGTGGCTTGCAACCCATCGATGCCATTGTTACAACTTCCCGCGTACCTTTTCACAGCGTCAGGCAGGTATCTGGTCAACCGCAGGGGCGATCTTTTTTGGAGAGTTGGTGCTTACCAGACGTCCGTGCGAGAGCGCGAACTTAACCGCGCGTCGCGCATCGCACGTCGCGAAGCACATACTTCATCAGGTGACCTAAGAGACGATAGGTCAGGCATTTGTTCAGTAAAGGTTGATCTTGCGATGGCTGCAGCTAAGGAGTGGTGCTGCGTGAACAAGCAGACGCCCACGTGCCCGGACTCCTCTTCGTGACCTCACGAAAGCATTGCACGCGTATGAACATTGCCCTGTATTGTCATAGCAAATGTGCATGCGTGTCCTCTTCCGTTGCCTTTCTGCAATATGCGATGGTGTTTGTTTGTGGCCAGTTTGTCGCAGGAGTCTTCTGCATCGCCTCGCCTTTCCCGATCCACTACGTGCAATTTTGTACTCGTCCTCATCCGCGACAGCTGTATCACATTTGTAGTTTGTTGCATGGTGCGTGCCAGTTGCCCATCAGATTATAGTAGTTTGCCCGTTTGCTTTATTTATGGAGCCTCGTGTATGTGCCATTCCGACATGTTTGTTGTGCATGTGGTTAATTGTTCTTTCCGGGAGAGAGAGAGAGAGAGAGAGAGAGAAAGAGAGAACGCCAGTCTCGTCACGATTTGTCTCATCCTGGTCATCCTTGTACCTCTCGTTGCCCGCCTCCTCACCGTCGTCGTTTGTTGCCGAACTCTGTGGTTCGTCATTTCTTGTCAGGATGATGCCGCGTCAAACAGCAGTGCACCCAGCACTACGGACCGCGTCTTGGTCTGATCAACAGGCTGGAAGATGTAGCGAGCAGTCTTCAGTAGCATGATCTGAGGCGTCGAACGATTTTGGGAGCTGTTTTGTGAGAGAAATCCTTGCGATCAAGTGTTCATGCAACATGGGTCATGCTGAAGGCGGTCAGTCAGGTTTCTCTTTTCATGTTGTTGAGAGGAGCGCGTTGGCACTGCATAGTCCTGGCACAGGCCAAATTGACACCGGGCCCTGTTGGAAGCCGACCCTTTGTCTGACCAAAAGGCACGTGCGCGGTGTGGTAGACTGGCACGCGAGACAGCATGAGATGAGGTTGAGGAGTCGGACGTGGATGCGTGCGCATCGCCGTTTATACCACACGCACGTACATGTATATATGTGGTTATATATTTGTATACACGCACACGTTGATGACCGTATACTTCTGCATGACTCAGTTTATCTGCTTTATCTTGTCCCCATCCCTCTTTGCCTATATCCTATATACCCTGTTGGCCTGTATCCCCTTGTATCCTGTATCATGTTTCCCTCTGTATCCTGTTGCCCTGTATCCCCTTGTGTCTCGTATCCCCATGTATCCTCTTGCCCTCTTACCCTGTAGCCTGTATCCTGTTTGGTGTTTACCTGGTTTACTCTGTATCCCCTTGTTGCCCATTTGGGCTCAACGTGTTTTTGTAGCGCTGGGACTTGGGACACCCAGTCACGCTGCACAGCACTGAGTGAATCCGATGTAGGACTCCACGAGGGCTTTGGAGTGAAGCACGAAGACAGCAAATGTATATGGTTCTTGGGGCGGTGCCAGTGCAGCTAACCAGGTTCGTTGTCCCCAGAGGTGTCTGTTTGCTTGTCTGTCTTTTCGCCCCCCCTGATATGTGTTATATCCTTGCTAACAAAAAGTTTGGCCATATTCTCGTCCCGCGTGAGTTTTTGATGGTCCTGGGGTCCGAACATGCGCCCCAAGGGGCCAGCATCGAGGCTAACCGCTGGGATGGACAAATTAGACCGTTGGAGATCTGGGTTCCTAATCATCCTCCTCCTATCTCCTTCTCCTCCTCTTCCATTCCTCTTCCTTATACATAATTTCTCCCTGTCGCACCCCGAGGCCAGTTTTTAGGGCGGGTCGGGCGTTTCGCCTGAGACTTCCTCTCCATTTATGACTTCGAAGCTTCAACAATGGCAACTGTTTCACAGATGGAGGGCGGGGTGCTTTTCAAAATGTGGCTGTCGCCTTGGGAGCGCGCAGGTTCGCTTTAGGAATTGCAAGAGCCTCACGGATAAAACGGGTAACCCGTTGTTTCCCCACATTCAAAGTGGGGCTCTTGTTTTCTTTGGACATTTCGCGCAGGAACCTCACCTCACCTCCCACCCCTCTCCCAGTCACTCACCATCATCACCATCATCATCATCACCACTCACCGTCACTATTCATCGTCATCGTCACCATCGTCACCATCATCATCAGCATTATAACCATTCACACTCACACCATTATCATCCCCATCATCAACATCCTCATCATTCGATCAATCATCATCATCATTAACATCATCATCATTATCAACATCATCACCCTCATTCGGTCACTCATCATCATCACCACTCCCCATCATCAGCATCATCCTCATCACCACTCGCCCACTCATCACTTCGTCACCATTCACTCCCTAGCTTGAATCTGGGGGACGTCTCGAGCGGGGGCCTCGTGCGTGAGTGAATTGCGGGGACGTCTCAGGCGGGAACCCCTCTCCCTATGGTGCCCGCACCTCATCTATCTAATCCGAGCGGGTCATCTGGATCATGTAATTGTCGTCACGTTTGGGTTCTGAGACCTGAGTATGGGGAAGTATCAGACGGGAGCCTCGTCTGTGAGTGAAGTGCGAGGAAGTCTCAGGCGGGAACCCTCTCCCTATGGGGCCCGCACCTCATCTTTTACCTAACAGCGAAGACTGATAGGTTTCTAGTTGACTCAAAAGAGCTCACAGATCACTCCACAGGGGGGTCCGGGCAGGCGTTGGGAGTTGCCGGGCGGCAGGGGGCCCCGCTTGTTTTTCACCAACAGTCACACACTTCGTGCTCTTCGACTTCCCAGAACTCCACTCCCAGGCCACATTCTGGAGGGCCGGATGCAACAGTCACACACTTCGTACTCTTCGAGATCCCAGAACGCCATTCCCGGGCCACCTTTAGAATAACCGGATGCAACACTCACACACTTCGTGCTCTTCGAGTTGCCAGAACGCCATTCCCGGGCCACATTTAGAATAACCGGATGCAACAGTCACACACTTCGTGCTCTTCGAGATCCCAGAACGCCATTCCCGGGCCACATCTAGAATAACCGGATGCAACAGTCACACACTTCGTGTTCTTCGAGTTCCCAGAACGCCATTCCCGGGCCACATTCGGAATAGCCGGACGCAACAGTCACACAATTCCTCGTACTTGACACCCCAGAACCTCATTCCCAGGCCACATTCGGAATAACAGGATGCAAGAGTCACACACTTCGTGCTCCGAGACCTCCCAGAACGCCGGGTTATCTTGCTGTCTGGAACGGCAATCCCGGGATACATTCAGAGTAATCCCACGCGACAGTCACACACTTTGTGCTCTGTGACCTCTCAGAACTTCATATCTGGGCGACACTCCTGGGCAACACTCGTTCTCTCACTATCATGCAACACTCATACACAGTGTCCTTGTCGACCTGTCACATCTCAACTTTCAATTCCTTGACACAACCGTCACACACACACACTGATTTCTCTGAGTTTTCACTAGGTTAGTCTCGGGTCACATTTTATTTTCCTTCCGCGACAGCCGTGCTTGGTTCAGGAGTTGCTAGTGACACTGCAGTCCATTTTACTCAACGTGCCTCGTCACTAGAGTTTTGATTGCAATGGCGTTCCCCTGGCCGTACCGCTATATGGAACGTTCATCCGCAGCCTCTGCTCCGCGAGGCTCGTCCGGAGTGTCGCCGCCTCGCGGTGCTTCTCAGCCTGCGGAGGAAGGTCGACAGACGCCTGGTCCTGGCGCTCTGCAGCCTGCGTCTTTCACGGTCGCCTCCTTCAATTTCGGGTTCGAGCAGGGCATGATGACTGGTAAGCAGGCGGCCACTCACTGCGCTAACTTCGGAAGGGTGTGCGCCACGATAGTGGAGACCGCTGATGCTGATATTGTCTGTGCATGCGAGGTCGGTGCGTTCCGTGAAGGCTTTCGCCGAGCAGCGATCAACGTGACAGAGATCCTCAGTAAGCCTTTCGGTGATGGCATTGGCTTCTCGGAGGTCGACAACTACTTGACTCTCTGGGGCTTCCGCGGTGCTTCTCAGCCTGCGGAAGTGACTCCGTGCGAAGACAGCCAAGTTTACAGGCCTCCTAGCGGGCGAGAGATTGATGCTGTCATTTCACATTTTGAGGTGAACAAACCAGGCCATGACAAGTTCTACGTGGTGATCGCCAACATGCACATCGTCTGCGGCAAGAAACCGCCGACCATTCAGACTCGAAAGCGGACAGTTCGCCATCTCCGCTTGCACCTGGACGGCATCGCTCAGATTCTCAATGCTTCGGAGCCGCACGTGCCAGTCGTTCTGCTTGTAGTCGGCGACGACAACCTGACTTTCCAGGAGGCGCGGGAGGCTTACCAGCGCCAGCAGAACGACGAGAAGCTCTGGGAGGTCCTTGCCACTCCGGCCGACCTCAAAGGCGACCACGTCGCGGTCTGCGGAGCAGTCGCCCGTTTCCGCTCGATTGCCGTTGGCGCGTCTTTTACGGATCGCGGCATGCGCAACGACGCACACGATGCCGTGGCGGTTGTGCTCACTCCCCCTGGTGCTTCTCAGCCTGGGGAGAGCAAGAGGCGGAAGATTGTCGTCGAAAACGTCTCCGACGCCGACGCCAGCGTACAGGCGGACGCCGAGTCTTCTGTGCACTGGGATCGGTCGCCGAGCCCTACTCCTCCGCTTTCACCGACTTCACCGGCTGATCCCGACTACGTCGAGGATGTCGTTCAAACTCGCGCGAACGACTTGCACAGGGAGCTGAGGCAGTTTTGGGACGAAAGGTACGACGATGAGTACGATCCGAAAGTCCTCTTTCATCTCAGTCTCTTGCTTTTCAAAAAGAGGAAGTCCACGGAGCTAGCGGACACTGATCCAGCTGGTGCTCCTCAGCCTGGCTCGGCATATGACGCGGCCTTTGCGTCTCAGGAGGAGACTGGCCGAGCCATTCTCTCTGTCCTTCAGCTTCGACATGACTTTCTGCGGAGCAAGAACATCGACGACATGCGCTACGTTCTCACGGAGCCTGAGCGCCAGGAATTGGTCAGAGTAGCTCGCGACCAGTACGAGCAGTCGCGGCAGCAGCGCGCGCTTCAGGAACGGGATGTCGAAAAGGGAAAAGCGAGAGGCAAGTCTGCGCCACAAGGGGGCCATGCGGTTCCGCAGGGTCCCAACAAAGGGCCAGGCGGTAAGAAAGGTTCTCGCGGTGCTTCTCAGCCTGCGGGAAGAGGTGGCCAGGCCAAGGGTGCAGGTCTGGGTAGCGTCGCCAAGTTTGTAAAAGACCAGAAGCGCAAGCGGTGGCATCGCCATTTGCAACGCGTGGCCGGCACCAAACAGATCTGGGAGGTGCTGGCCTTCTCAGGGCGCTTCGACGGTCATATGCTAACGCAAGCGTTGCAAGCTGATCACAGTGAGGGCCGTGATACAGCAGCTCCCGAGGAAGCTCTGCGGGAACAGCGGCGCCGTCTGCACCACCAGAAGGCCGAAGCCATCGCGCGCTACAACGAGGGGGAGCGGCTTTCCCGCCATCGCGAAGAGCTCCGTCGTGTCGGCGCTCTTCCGTCTGCCCAGGCTGGCCAGCCAAAGCCGAACCTCACGCGCAGGCAGCTGGACGTGTTGCAGATGTTTGACAGCGGAGAGCTGCTTGAAATCCGCAACCAAGCGATTCTGGCGTTGAGGCACGGCCGTTTGCGCAGGGCCGGAGGCGACTGCCTTG